ATTTCATTTTGCACGAAATTGTTCCTTTTTGGATTATTTTTTTGGGCTTGATTGCTCGTTTTTGTTTTCTGTTGCATGATATTGCCAAATTTTCTTTATAGCATGTACAAAGGTATGAACGTAAATATTTATTTAAATTTATTATAAATCATATCAGACTTGTATTCGAGAATTAGTGTGTCCATGGACGGCATGGAGCCCGAAATAGCTATTTATTTTTTTTGTTCTTTTTATTCAAATATTTTTATAGGATCAAAAGATATTCTAGATTCGTATTGTTTGATATAGATAAAAAAATTACCATCCAAGTACACACATTTGATTGTATAAGTAATAGTATAACTGAGGGTAACCTATTTAATAATTTAATTTAATGCAAGTTAATATAGTCACTTAAAAGTTCCTTATTCTCGTAGTTCTGTTATTCGTAATTTCAAAATGTGTATATTTATTTTCCAGTTTTCATACAAACAAGTATGGAAGTATTTTTAAACAAACGTTTTCTTATCGCAGTGTTAGGCGAGGGACTATGGATTTTAATAGAAGTAAAGGTGTTTAACTCAAAATCCACTTTTTTTAAAATTTAAATTAATCTGCAGCAGTGAAATCAAGTCCCAATTTAAAAAAAAAAATATGATTAATTTTTCGTAAGGTGATTATCTTTAATACCGATTCAAGTTAATCGTTATACATTTTAAAATATAATTCGATTTTTCTCATGTTATACCTAACTTCAATTTAAATGCTATAAACTCTTAACATAAAAGTAAAGAAGCATTAATATTATAAATTAAACAAAAACTATGATTTTTGCAGGTTATTTAAACAATTTGTTGGGTTGTTACTGCACGATTTTGCGCATTTTGAATTTTTTATTGAACAAAAATCCGGCCTCTACTAATAAGAAACAGGTATTTAGGAGATATAAGGCTTTTGACTAGTGATATTTAAGTTTTTTTTCTGTATATATATATGTAATAAATACACAAAGAGGCTAAGGAAACAAGAGGACATTGTAAATTTAGCTAGATGTAATCTATTAGGAAATCTCTGCTTTACAATGAGTGCCATATATATATATATATGTATGTATGTATGTATGTAAATGAGCCATTTCGACTTCGGATAGAATGGTGCTTCCTATAGTGGAGTGAGTTATTTGTTATTTTGGAGTTCGACATTTTTTCGACAACAAAAAATATCTGAGCAATCTATACCGCTCTATTGAGACCCCAATTCCTGTGGATGACCTGTTAAACTGTGGATGTCTATAACCTACATTTGGCTCCAGAAATGTGGGAACCAGAGAAAACATTGAAAACTTGGGAATCAGTGAAAGCAGAATCTTTTACTTTCACTTACCTATATATGAAATATATAGTAAGAGAAATTATTGCGATCGTGAAGATTTTCGAATCCGAGTTATCAACGGAAATACACGTTTTGAAGTCTCCTAAGTCCAAATAACCAAGTCTCGTAAAATGGTCCGTGCGAATGCATGTTAACACTATAACAAAAAATTTCACTTACATGAAATTGTATATATTGAAGGTTTGTATATGCCTGGGATGTTACGGCAATCTTTTTGTTAAACATCATCTAACCGGAAGTGGCACTCTATATCAGCGATTTAACACATTTTTACTCTAAAACGGCGGTAACGAACTTGATTAAATTCATAATATCAGTGTAAAATTAAGCAGTTTTTAATATAATGTAGGCTTTATTCTCATCAATGTTCTCTAATAGAGCTTAAATAGATATTTTTCAATACTTCTACCATTCAAGTAACTTTATTTTCTTTTAAATTTATTTATTATTTATTGTTTATTATTTTTCTAAAGACAAGAAGTGTCATTATTCTACAGTGATAAATAATAATAATAAAATGCTGCAAATTATTTCACTATGGTTTATTATTTCCAAACAATTATACATCTAAAGTTACATTACCTTCCGAGTTACAAAGAAAAATAAACAAAAGGTGATTCCAATTATTGGACTAAACTTTTTTTTTTAATCATTAGTAATACGCTAAAAAAAAATAACATTACTTCAGTAACACATTCAAAATTTAAAAACCAAACCAAGGATATAACATCTAGAGTAGAACATATAAAAAAAAACCGGAGACCATATCTTTGCTCCTAATTGTCTGATTTTAACGATTATTTTTTTTTTTAGGAAATTTCGTAAACTTTTAAAAAACTATATACAATATCAACAAATAGGTATAAACTTTTCGAGTTATTCGGAATTTAATTTTACCATCCCTCGTAACTTTTTTTCCATCATCTTTTCGTTGAAGTATGTTATGTAGATAAAATTAAAGGGCGTCGAGAAAATGACTTTAGCGAAGTTTCATTGAAATCTGTGCGTTCGTTTAGGCGCTACAGTCTATAGCAACACAGGTTTTCCGGCCGCCATTTTGAAAGTAAAAGGCGGATAGTGATGTCGATGAAGGAGGACCATCCTCGGGTGACCTCTAATTTTAAATTCAAATTTGAAAAAAATCGGTCCAGTAGTTTCGGATAAAATGCGCGGACGGCGGACGGGCAAAAAAATTTGTATTCGTTTTTCGAATTCTACGCATCCTGAAATGTGAAATCTCAAATTTTGAGAGGGGGTTAAGTTTTTGGTCGATTACAATGGTTGATTGTTGAAAATAATAAACCAAAACACATAGCAAAATAAGAAAGTTCATTATCGTAAAATTAACAATGAATAATTAAAATCCAGTATTACAAGTAGACGTATTTAAATTAGAGACCAATGCATAAAAATATTTTAAACGTCGGCTATTTCCATAAACGTGGCATACTTTTTAACTTTATTTGTTGGGAGAGGGAAGGGAGAAGGTAATCAAACAGCATGGAGTATCTTTTATGGATCATATAACTGTTAAAAACTATATTAGATATGAAGCCGTAATTGAAATCTAGGGACGGGGTGGTTGAGCAGGCTAGGCGTGTATAAAATTCACGTTGCCGGCAACCAGATAAACCAAAGTTAATGATAAAATAATTACGAGTTCGCATCACGGTGTCGGAGGAGACAGGGGACTTTTAACTCTGGCATTAATCCATTGCCCTCATCTCTTGGCCCGGGGAAAAACTCCGTATTGCTAAAAGACAAAAAAGTTCACGGAAGGGTTGGACCAAAACAAAAAATGAAATTTTCAGTTTAAATTTGAAAAAGTGGATAAAACGAAAACAACTTTTTTGTAACATTTCAAATTTTTCATATTTTAACTAAACTTGTATTAACATTTTTTTTTTCCAATATATTTCAAGTAGAGATAATATGTCCTTCCTAATCTATCCGTCTGACACTACTTCCATGGCTACATGTAAAGGACCAAATCTATAACTTTTAAATGATATTTATTTTGGAAGTTTTGGGACCAAACCTGAGCAGTACAGGTGAAATTTTTCATTAGTTAAAAAGAAAATAGATTGAAAACGTTTAATTTAAGTATTATTTAAAATATACTATAAATTCCTTTAGGGAGTGGGGTAGCTCAGTGGTAGGGTACTAACTTCCAATGCTAAAGGTCCCAGGTTCGAATCCCGGCTCATGGCAGAAATATAGTTTATTCTGTTTTATTGGCCGTGGGACGATTCTCGTAGGTAGGCCATCCTGGTGCACACCCAGCCTCTATAAAGTGGGTAACCTTAATTAATATAATTAATTAGGGGGTAAAACCTGGCGGTTGAGCGTGATATCTCTGTCAAATCACCTTCTTGCACAACTGTAGGCCAAGAAACAGTGCTTTCTTTGAATAGTACTGAGCCCAAGACACTTCATGGGTTAGGACCCATCATGGGTTGCTGTGGTTAGTGTTGTCCAAATGCTAGACCGAGACGAGTCTTGGTCTTGCAAACTCAGTCTTGGTCATGGTCTTGGTCTTGCAGTTATTTTTTAGCTTATTACTATAGAGATATTAATGTAATTTTTTAGATAGGAGAAACCTAACTAAGCTCGAATGAAAAATTGGAGGAGTTAAATGCAAAAGTATATTCATTATACCAATTATTAACATATAGTAACTAAGATTTTCAAGTATTAGTAACTATTTTGCCTTAATTTTTTTTTTAAATCGATTTTTTTTACCAGTCCTAGTCTTGGTCTTGCTGCAGTTAGGCGGCCTTGGTCTTGGTCCAACCGAAGAAATAATGTCGCGTTTTATGAAAGATATGGATTGAAATAACTCAAAAACTGAAAATCGGACTTGCATACTGTATGGGAGGGGAATATTTTTCATATTATGAGAGGGAAATACATATCATCCTCTTTATAATGTGCTATTATTTATATTTAATATTATTAATCTCGCCTAGCGGATGTTTTCACTTCTATCGTGCGGTCTGAAAAAAACACATTAGTTGTTTTTTTTATTTACTCCACGCTGTTCGAGCCAGTACTTTCTAGAGTTCTCACTTTAATAGAGATATTAAAACACGTGCGGTCAATTTACAGTTTTCACGTGAGCAGAGTTTTTCAATAAAGATAATTGGTGTGGAAAAAATTCGAGGAAGTAAAAATGTCGGTCTTTTCTGAGGCTTTCGGATCCTTGTTTTTGTCGTGGCGGGTGGAAGTCGTTAGATGGGCAACGAAAATCATCTCAATCATCGAAAGAACGTTGTATAGCCTGAAAGGGAAAAAAAACTATAATAATTACACTAAAAGAACAACATAACTTCGACGTGAGACATTTTTACAATAAAATAAGCTCCATATTATTTTTAAGTGCATTGACATATGAATATAATTTTTAATTAAGTTTCATGTTATATCTTACGAAACACCTATAGTCCTTTATGCAAGACTTATTTTATATTACAAGGTAAATGTAATAAGCTCTCTAACAGTCTGTAGAAACCGGCCCCATTATTTGGACTAACTAACGGTGGCTGGGGAAAGTTTAGCAAATTATTTCAACAAAACATTTTTCTTTCAATAATGAATAACGTATATATACAATGGTCTTTTATTTTCAGCTGGAAGAGATGGAGGGTCCATGCAACGCACTGTTCATCGCTAGTCTATGCCTCTTAGTTGCTATTTCCGCATCCCAAAAACGTAAGTACTCTAATTGAGATGTAAGTTAAATATAAATTCGTATCTTTATTTTTGGCACGCTATTAGAATATTCAAGCACATACCACTAAACCTTTCAATGAACACAATAAGAATGGCATAAAATCTTAAATGTTTGAATAAATACAGACCGGTGATGGCACATATTACATCAAATGGAAAATAAATATTTGTACATCGGAGATAAAGGACATTAAGTCCATTTTGTTTTTATTAAATAATTTAGTAAATAAGAAACAAATTTTAATTGCTCCTAAAGAAAATACAAAAATGGTAATGTATTCTTTATCTCCGAGGTACTGATATTAAGTCTAAAAATGCCAAATAAATACAAATCATAGGGGCAGATAGAACTTTTAAGATTGTTTAAAATATTCTGTCTAGTTTAGAATTTTTGTTTTATAAATATCTTATAGGTATATGTCGTGTACATGTAATTACAATGTAAATGTAACTTTAATAGTTACATACATTGAAATACGCATATCTACAGAAAAAACCATCTGCCAAGTAAGGTCAGTATAGCCTCCTCGCTAAATTCACCGACATTTTCCATCAGTTAGAACAAAAATAATTCAAGAAGAAATATAAGAATATGAATGAAGTTAACAAAGTACATAAAATGAAGGCATCTTTAACTGAAGTACATATGTAAAGGTTATCGATGCTTACATCCTATCCTTCAATTATAACTAGTTAAAAAAAGGTTTAGAATAAAGTCCCTTATCACTCTAAAGTTTGGTGGGGGAGGGGGAAATCGAGACCAGAACCAGTTAGTTTAACTTCAAAAGAAATAGAGGAACTCAAAAATATGAAATTATTTTTTACAGTGTGTGCAAAATTTAATTTAAATTTACAAATATACGGTACTTATAGTAAAGAAAAATCGTATGCCCAAGCGAAAGCTGTTAAAGAGATTCGGCAAAATCTATATTGGGCCACCTCCCTCAAGTTTCAACCTCCCTCCCTCCAATCACTGAAAATTAAATGAAATTTTTGTTGTACCATGAAATTGAAAACCAAAAAACAACCAGTTTAAATTAACTTTTTTTTTTAATAGAGTTTAAAATTTAATAATTTCATAAAATAATACTATGAGCATAACCTCCCTTTCACATTATCAATGCCTTCCACATTTCAGGGACATTATATTTTTAAAAGTTATTTATAATAATTTTAATTATTGAATAGAGTTCAATGAAATTGATACTTGGGAATTTCTACAATATTATCCGCATTTCCTTCAACTTTCGGTCTGATCGAACTAAAACCGTTTTCAAAATATAAGCGTGTTAAAAACAAAATACTCAATAAAGTTTCGTTAAAAATGTACATCTTTATATTAATTTTTTTTTTTTTACATTCTACTATTGTTTTCTAAACACCTGCTAGCCTGATCTAATCATACTTTATCGTTTTACCAGAGTAAGGAGAGATTTGATGTTAGCATGGCTTCCTGTAAAATTTGATAAGAAGAATACTTATATTATTTTAACGTTCTTTAACACCGGAATTCCATTGTAGCTCAAATTAATGTGATTATTTTTAAGTTACGTTTAAGTTTTGCCTAATTTAAGTTACGATTTTTTAACAGAAATGCTTTTATTGTTGTATATCGCCTAATGTTGGCGTTGTTTCATTTGTTTTTTTATGTAAGAAACCAATTGCCTCAATGTTGTCATCTACTCTGATATCATTGAAGACAACAGCATCTGTATTCTGTTCATTGAGCTAAACCTTATTTATGAATTATTCGGCAATTTGAAAGAGATAAGTAGGAGTCCTTCAGGCGATTAGTTTCTTAACTGACTCAATCCATTTTTAAATATTTTACTGGAGACGTCCAATTCAAATAATATATTCTATTAGTTTGGACTCATGTTTATTATAGATTGATACACTTTTAATACAGCTCCACAGGGTTATGTAGCGCCTTTTCAGATTCGAAAGCGGAACTATTTTTTGAAAGTATTAGATAAAATTTTCTGAAATGAATATCTACTGGATTATTTTTTAACCAATTCCTAACTTTCTTCCAAATTTGAAACAAATCGAACATGTAGTTTTTAAGACATAGACGTATCATGAAAAATACGTTTTCTGAAAAAAATTTCTGAAATGAATATCTACTTGATTATCTTTTTACCAATTCCTAACTTCCTTCCAAATTTGAAACAAATCGAACGTGTAGTTTTTAAGATATAGACGTATCACGAAAAATACTTTTGATCATATTTAAGAGAAAGATGTTGACGGAATGCTAAGAAATTGATACTGCATTTTATTTTTACCAACATTTATCTTTCTTTCAACTATAAATAAACCCATACTTTGAAATAGTCTGGATCTGATGATATCTCATCTTGAGTTGAAATACCATTACTTCTGATATCTTAATCATGCCTCTATACTTCTTTTAAACTACAGTATTCTTAACAGCATACCAATATTCCTTAATCCCCTTCTTACATACGTACTCTGATTATCAAAGACTTATTCTCATTCAACTGGGATGGATCCACGATGGAGGAAAAGCGGATAATTTCCTTTTATCAAATAACTACTGAAAAAAAATGTGTAGGCTGTTTAAAATATACCAACTGGTATTAATACTCGTGAATGAATTATTATTAATTAGGTCGGGAAAAATTAAAATTTTGACACAACTTGTGAGAAATGGTCGGTCTTTGCATTTTCATCAATAAATTATTTATGAAATAAATAATCGATTTATTATAGACAAATGTCTTCCAAATTATGTATTATTCTGGAAATTACCTATGGATCCGATCCTGCTATTAACAATCCAAACTCCACTATTTTGAGTAGTAAATTAAGCTTGGATTTTTGATTGGATATTGGATAGCACTAATCCAAAATTACAGAAAGAATCTAAAAAATTACCTAATCATGAGTCATGCAGATTTGTACATGAGCTAAATTGATCGATCATATATTCCGGACAGGGGTTAATTGTCTTTTCTTAAGTTTAAAATTTCTTTAGAAAAACTTATTAAAATTACTTAGCTGAAAGAAGCATATCCAATATTTATAAATACTTGTGATATTTACATTTTATAATGTTCTTTGTTTAATGTGTCCATAAGTGTATTTATCTTCATACAGACTGGTATATTTTGGTATGTGACGAGTACATTATGTGAAGGTCTTAATTGTTAAATTCCTTTCATTTGGCCACACTGATTTGACAGAATTCTGCATACATTTTTACTTACTGTAATTGTTTAGAAACACTATAATTTTGTACACTGTATTTTGACAGCCACACAGAAAAATGTGTCGCAATGTTTTGATGTATAATCATGATTAACAAAACCGAAAAGTGAATAGCGATGCCAAGATTAACCAGAATAAAATTGTATTCACAAGTCTTGAATTGTGGCTGTTAATGTATTCTTAAAAAAAATATATTTTTTTATCATTTATTTTTTAATATTTGAATATTATATATTAATTACTTTGCAGCTTATTTTCTTCACACATGCCAAAAAAATGACCCTAACATTAACCAGTGCCTTACCTATGCAGCCAACCATTTAGCGACGCATTTTAGATCAGGTAATGTTCATTCCAACGTCAGAAATATTTATTCATTACAATATATTCAGTAATCTTATGAACTATCACTGACAGGTATACCTGAGCTGGGGTTAACTGAAGTTGAACCAATCATTCTGGACGAAATAAACCTAGCTTTAGGATCCGGTCCCGATGGCTACAGAGCGACTTTCCGAGACATCAAGGCATACGGAATAAGCAATTTGACAATTACAGGAGTGAGGTAAAGTTTTCAGCAAGATACAAGTATATTTTAGAATAATTTAAAAACAAATACATTTTTTAAATTGGAATTTTCGATGAAAAATTATTGAAAAGTTTGTCAGCAAGGCACACACTTTCAAAACATTTTTTCTTCTCTAAATCAACTGGAGAAAAGGAAGGGGACAGAAACGTGTAGCATGGCGAAAGTAGGAACAATTTTTATGGTGTTTGAATTTTTGAGGAGGCAAACTTTAGTTGGATTATTCATTTCTGGAAGGAGTCATATTTTTGATGGGTTAAGCAGGGATGCCCATTTTCCCAAAAGACGCAAGAATCTATCCCTCTCTTCCTCCCCAGATGTTTTATTGTTCATCTTTTCTTAATAACAGATCAAGCTAAGGTAGAATTTAGAAAAATCACAGCTCACATACAACTACACTTGCTGCGGTATGTTCCATGTTTTTCCTCTTGTCCCTTTGTCCGAAAATTCATAACCCCGTCGAAATTTGCTTCCCTCGAAAATTCAGAAACCTGTCAAAATATGCCCCCTCCAAAAAAAAAATTATGATGGCGCAACTTGCGCCATGAAATACCCTTCTGGACACCTCAAGGGTTCAGTTCGAATGATCTTTCAAAGGAGAGAAGAAAGGGAAGACAGAACAGGCATGCAATTGTAATTTTGTATATTCTATATTTTTCCAATACTACTTCCTTTTCCTCTCTTTCTATAAAGAGAGAGAAATACAATTTCTTAGAGGGGAAAACGGGTACGCACCATCGACCTTTGGGGGATGGCATCCCTGAGACCGACGTTGTTATGCAGTGGTAATACTTTTCCTAGATAAGGGTTTCTATTTCTTCTCAACTATTGTGTGTTTATGATCATTATTCAAATTTCAAAATTATTTTAGTTGTCTTTTTATTTATGATATAAAGTCGTTTTAAAAGCCACATACTCAATAAAGGATTACTTTCTTTCTCGTTCTGGAATGATGATCTAAATCCTCCCTCATCCAAAACCCTTCAACAGTTTCTTTGTTTTGTAACACACAGTCGTATAACGGTTAATCCTTAAGTAGAAAGATGACTCAGAAAGACTCCAACCACTTAGTATAATGAATGGAATAGTCGACCTAACGACCATAATATTATTTTAATCAAATATTATTATAGCGCATTGTATTTTTTAGAAAAAAAAAAAATTCTTGACAAAAATGAAAAGCGATAGATAGCCTTAAAAATGGAAGTCACCTGTTTAAAAATAATTTATATTTGAAGGTGCCAAACTGTTTAATGGTTTTGATGGTAGGGGAGATTCTATAATCGATTTCTCAAATAACTAACTCACCCATAGAGAATTCATCAGCGTGCTAAATAGATATTTGTTTTTTTTTTCAATTTTGGAACTTATAAACAGATTGCATTAAATCGACAGTTATAATTAAAAAGCCTATAAATAGTTCCAGAGTACTATTTTAGGTTATTAAGTGCGTTCTTGAACTTTTCTTGCCAATCTTGGTTTTATGAATATTCAGAAAAATAAACCAAAACATTTAAAAAATTATAGTTTATTAAAAATAGCGTGTAAAAAATATTGAGCGGAAAATATGATTCATAAAATAAAAAATATGGTGTGTGAAACACACAAGTTTCACTTATCCCTCTACTTTGAATAGAAATTATTTTCTGGCAATGTTGGGCTATTATATAATTTTTGAAGTACATTTTAAAAGGAGGCAAAGCTTAAAGCTTACAATTAACAAATCATTAAGCTCATTAAAATTACAAAAAGTCTATTTATTATATCAGCGGTAGGCAATAAAAATCTAGTTTTATAAACCTCATAACTTCAGTCTCTAAGCCTTTTAGCTGACAGAATGACTAACTCCAATTTCAACATTTTGAGTGATGTCATTGTAGTGATATTTCTAGTTGGAAAAGTTAGATCTATACAAGCAGTGAGTATGTAGATTCCAGAGTAGGCGATTGCAGTTTTAAAATATAGAACAGTGAATAAAGGTATAAATGTTGCGACTAGAAACATTACTAAAATTCATAATAAAGAATATTGAAATTGAGGTTAGTCATTCTGTCATTCGGCTTTTTTTTAATCTGAGTTTTCAACGGAAATGCGTGTTTTGATGGCTCCTGAGTAAAATAACCAAGTCTCGCAAAATGGTCTGTGTGTGTTAGCAATCTTGCTCAAAACGAAATGTTGGAAGAAACTGAAATTGCATATTTAAGTTTTTTATATGCCCCAGATGTTACAGCAACTTTTTCCTTAAAATCGGGTGACCGGAAGTGCCACTTTATATCAACGGTGAAACACATTTTTACAATTTTCTCAAAAACGGCACTAACGATTTTGATTAAACTTGGTGTATCATTGCATAATTTAGTGGTCTTAAATATCATTTAGGTCTCATCCCATTTCATGTCTTTTACAGAGCTTAAATGCCCAACGTTCATATACGTCTTCCTCCAAAGTACCTTTAATATGGTTTATTTAAAAAAAAATAATAATAACTCTTTTATTGACAGTATCTACAAAAAATGGCTAAATGAGAATTTTGAAAGAATATGATAATTGGAAACTGGAGAAAAAAAAATCCAGGTTGAAAACGAATATCCGAAATTAACAGTCAGAAAGATATGTATAATATATCGTTGGAAAGCGGAGAATTTTAGAAAAAACAGTATCTGATATAGAAAGTTGTAGAAGGTAACCGAGAGTGGAGAAAATATTATAAATAATAGTTTCAGAAAACTAACATTTTGCGGGACTTGGTTATTTGGACTGAGGGAATTTCAAAACATGTATTTTCGTTTAAAACTCAAATTTCAAAATTTTCATGATCACAATACTTACCCTTACTATATATTTCATATATATCTATATATATATTTTAGTTCTTGCACATACAGGCCTTTGCCAAGCCGCTATGGAATTAGTGTTATTTTAATAATTACCTCACAGTTGTTTAAATATTTATTATTTTCCAATGAATTATCTATGTACATATGTGAAAATTTGAGCCATGTTTCAAATAAATACAAAAAAAAAAGTTTGAGGGAATTTTATATACAACACTCATTATAGTATTATCCCTTACTAGTACCTCTTTCATTAATTATATTTATAAAACATTTATGAATTTTTAAAAAATTAATTTAAAAAAAATAACCAAGACTGAATTTATTTTTTCGAATATTGTGAATTTTTAATTGTTATGTGGTAGTTTCATCTCTCTATATAATTTAAATCATTTAAATTCAAAATTAACAGTTATTTAGATCTCTTCTGGAAACATTTTATACACTCCATGAATTGAAGGAATTCTAATGAGGGAAAAAAGTTAATTAAATTAAATTAATTAATATCTTATTCTAAAATAATCAATATCTTATTGATACTTTACTTTCTTATTTTGTACACAGGTCAGATCTGAATTCTCTACAACTGCAATTGAGCTTTTATATACCAAAGATCGCAGTGCGTGCTAAATACAAAAGTTCTGGAGTACTTATCATGGTCCAGGCCACAGGGGGTGGTGACTACTGGGGACAGTATGGTAATATTTCTAATTGTATTCACAAAATTTATAAATATTATGGTTAATAATTATTATTACAAATGTTCTTTATCAATTTCAGATGGTGTAAGGGCAAAGACGTACTTGAGAGCGAGCAAACAAAAGATTAATGGTGTTGAATATTTAAACCTAGAAGATTTAAAAATGGATTTCAGTGTCAGAGAATTGAAAATGGGTATTGAAAACATCCAAAATGGAAATACAGTAATAGGTAAGAATAAATCATATAAGTAAAAATGGGATACTAACTTTATATCAAATATAATAATAAAATGAACTATGGAAAGGAGAAATTTCTCTTAAAATGTTAAAATTCAGTTATAATTTTACTGGATGAACTTACTTCTCAAAAAATATTTTTCACCCAAATTCTTTAGCAAAGGCGAATTAAATATTATTTGGTAGAAATTATTCAAAAATATGTTCAATAAATGTTTATAATTCAAAGATGTGAATTAATACTGTAAATAAAAAATATTTAAATTTTCATCTTACCATAAATATAACAAAGATTAAACCACTATCATAAATTTAAAATTATTAGTATCTTCATAGATAGTAGAAGAGAGTTACTAGATGATTGCAAAGATCATGCACTTTCTTTTATGGGGAGAGAAAGTAGATCTTTGCTCACCTGAAAGAGAAAAGATGAGAGAATGGTTCTAGAACAGCCCTAATTGCATATTCAAAATCTGACTTTAGTATTTTCTAATTCATCTATGAGTATCAACTATTTTTAAATTTTAATAATCATATATAAGAAAGGCCAATATGTAAAATTGAATAATATGACTTTTCAAACAAATAAATAATAATAAATAAATATTTTTATAATTAAGCTTTCATTGCAAAACATTATATCAATCAGTGATATTTTTAACTTGTAGTTATATATTTTTTATTACCTTTCAGTATTTCATTTGGTTTGATTCTTATCATTTTTGTAATTTAGAGATATCATCAGTGGTGAAACATTTGTATGTACAAGAATAATTACAATGTTAAAAAATCTGGTGCGCTCAACACACATCTTTCACTTATAGCTCAACTTTGAATAGAAATTATTTTCTAGCCATGTTGGGCTATTATAAAATTTTTTAATTGCATTTTTAACAAAGCTAAAGATAAAAGCTTACAGCTAACAAATCATAAATACCATTTAAAAAACAAAAGTCCTATTTATTATATCACTGGTTCATTATGGATTGTACGACTATTAGTTATTAAACTATTATTTTCCATTGCAAAGTTTACTAATATGAAATTAAGAGATTTGCATTGTCTATCATAGACAGGTCAAAAATTAGCACACTAATTGGAAGTGAATAATATTGGAATATCAAAAAGGGAAAATCCATCAAATTATTCACTAATGTAATTTTCTAAAAGGTTACATGATGATTTTTCTGAATAAACAGAAGATAAATACCTAATTACTTAAATATAATATCAGATCTAGAGTTATTAAACTACAGTAAATATATTTAAGGTTATAAACATATCCATGAAATATGTTTATATTTCATTTCTTCTTTCACACAAATACTATGAAATAGTATCTTAAACAGTGTCATTGCCTTGAATCTGTGGATTTTAAATACTTTTTCAAACTAAAAAAAATGTTAAAAGTTTAGTAAGAAAATTTCATTTAATTTCCTTGAAAACACGTGATTGACATTAAATATTGTTAGTTTCTAGAAATTATTATTTAAAAATTTTTTCGCCACTCTTCGTTACCTTTTACAATTTTCTATATTAGATATTTTTTTTTTTCTAAAATTCTCCGCTTTCCAACCATATACATATACCTTCTGAGTAGTATTTACAGGCTAGATATGTATTTTTCTTTTTCTCCTATATTCAACTACCAAATTCTTTCAAAAGTTATATTTAGCATTTTTTTCATAACTGCTAGGAATGAAAAAAAAATAGCTATTATTTATAATAAACCAAATTAAAGGTACTTTTGAGGAAGACACAATAATTTTGGGATTTCAAAAGGGGAAAATTCATCAAATTATTCTCTAATTTAATTTTTTTTAGTTAAATTTGAAAAACTCAGATTCGGAAATTTTCACGATCTCAATACTCACCCTTACTATATATTACATCTATAAGTAAGTGATAAAAATATGTACATTTAAATCAAATGAATAATATTTTGTAATATATCAACAAAAAAAAAAAATTGGTTTCTATTTTAAAATATCTTTTTTTAAAATAATAAATACAAACATTAAGATTCATATGACGATTAAAGTTATATGACGATTTTTCAGAATAAACGGATGTTGATACCTAATTATTTAAATATAATATCAGATCTAGAATTATTAAACTACAGTCATTGTATTTAAGGTTATAAACATACGCTTTATACATCCATGAAATAATTTGATGTTTCACTTCATCTTTCACACAAATACAATAAAGTAGTTTTTTAAACAATGGTATTGTCTTGATTAGGTGGATTTTCAATACTTTTTAGAACTTAAAAATATTTTAAAAGTTTACATTTAATTAGTAAATTTCATTTAATTTCCTTGAAAACGTGTGATTAACGTTAAATAATAATAATTTTCAAAAATTATTATTTATAATTTTTTCACCACTCTCCATTACCTTCTACAACTTTCTATATCAGATATTGTCTAAAATTCTCCACTTTCCAACAATGTATTATACATATACCTTCTGATTAATATTTCCGGAGATTCATTTTCGACCTAGATAAGCATTTTTCTTTTTTTGTCTCCTTTATTAAATTATCGACTTCTTTCAAAAGTTATATTTAGCATTTTTTCGTAACTCTAAATAATGTGAAATGATTAACTATTTAAAATAAACCACATTAAAGGTACTTTAGAGGAAGACGTGACTTATAAAGTGACATCAAAGGTGATAAGACCTAATTGATATTAAAGACCACTTCATTATACAATGATACACCAGGTTTAATCAAAAGCCGTTTTTGAGACAATTTTAAAAATGTGTTTCAGCATTGGTATAAAGTGGCACTTACGGTTAGCTGATTTTAAGAAAAAAGTTGCTGTCACATCTAAGGCATATATATATCTATCTTAAATACGTAATATCAGTTTCGTACGACTTTTGGTTTTTGAGCTAGACTGCTGACATACACACACACAGACACACAGACTATTTTGTGGGACTTGGTTATTTGGACTCAGGGTACCTCAAAACGTGTGTTTCCTTTGAAAACTCAGATTCGGAAATTTTCACGATCTCAATACTCACCCTTACTATATATTACATCTATAAGTAAGTGATAAAAATATGTGCATTTAAATCAAATGAATAATATTTTGTAATATATCAACAAAAAAAAAAATTGGTTTCTATTTTAAAATATCTTTTTTTAAAATAATAAATACAAACATTAAGATTCATAGTTTAAGAATGAAAAATATCATATTTTCTTAATAAACAAGTGAAATAGATGTTTTTTTTTTTTTGTTTTTTTTTTTTAAATAAGAAAAAGATGTATTAAATACATAAACAAATAATATTATTTATAAGTTATTTATTTGTTCTAAAAATGTAGTATTGATATTTATGAAAGCATATCCATATACATTAAATTTTAAACATTGTGTTTTTTAATTTACAGAAGCTGCTCTTAATTTATTTATTAATTCACACTCTCAAGATCTGCTGCGAGAGATGAAACCATCAATCAAGATCAAACTCCTGCAAATAATGGGACAGTTTGTTGACAATCTCTTCCAACGAATACCATACAAATACTGGATCAGTGAATGATATATTAAATGCCAAAAATTGTTAGTTGATAAGATTTTTCTCTTCATTCAGTATCTGAATTATTTATTTATTGTTTTATACATAATGAATTTATTTTTTAAGCACTTCTAATGTATATTTATTATTTATGTTTAAAGATAATTATAGTACAAAAATGCTAATATTTGTTATACAATTTTATTCCTTCCTTAAGATTTTATCTCAATTAAACAAGATTTTATAAAAAATATTTGGAATAAATAATAACTATTGAAATGATAGAATCATCTGCTTTATTAGAGTAAAGTGGCATGCATTTTATAATATAATTGTTGTATATTAAATGAAATACATATTAATACAAAATGTACATCTACAATATTTTGTATTTTTTTTTTTTTTTTTTGGATATAAAAATGCATTTGTGCCTGTTAACTTCTTTAGACAATCAGCAAATGTGATGGAGATATAGGAAATGATGACATGACAGGCATGGGGAAGGAAAGTACTCAGAAGTACATCTTCCCTAACTTCTTGTAATCACTTAGGTTGTTTAATGAAGGAGATTTCCCATCCAATCCCTTTTTAGTCTCCTCATGTTCTGAGGTATGTCAGCTGTGGCCATGTCTCTTATCAGTCTGTTATTGTGTCTGTTTAAATTAGGGTAAAATTGCTGATAAAGAATCGTTATATGTTGATCAACTGTTGGAATGTCAGTATGTAGAATTTTGTTAGTCATGTATCGAGGTGCTATTGTATAAGTCGCAATAATTTTGATTGGAAGGTTTGAAGTTTTTATAGGTGGGTCTTTTTGGTGATACCATATATTTGTGATGAGTATGTCCATATGGGTTTAAGTAAGTATGTATATGTATTCAGTTTCTGTCTCAGTTTTAGTTTTTAAGATTTAGGTAAAAGAGGATTAAGTAGTTTAAGTAGCAGTGTCTTATGTTTCATTTTTACATGCCAATGTCATCCGTCTGTCAAAAGTAAGTCCGAGATAAAGTACTGTGTCCGTTTGAGGAATTTGCTTGTTGTCAATATAAACAGGAGGATAGGTGTTTTTTCGAAAAGTAAATGTAATACGTTTGGATTTGTCATGATTTAGTCGAATTTTCCATAGTTTTACCAATCTTGTAATTTGAATAAATGATGTTGTAGAGTAAGTGAGGCCAGTGTAGGGTTTTGATGTTTTGCGAGAATCATTGTACCGTCTACATAAGTAGCTGTCAAAGTCTCATAATTAATTGGTATATTGTATATGTATAAAATGTAAAGTAGAGGGGTTAGTATTGAACCTTGGGGAACTCCTGCCAAGATTGGACGAACTGAAGACTGTTCCGAACTCTGCCAAACTGAAAAAAATTTGTCGAAGAAGAAAGATTGAAGGCTAAGGTAGGACATGTATAGGCAGTATAGGCTTAAGTTTAAAAAGAAGACTCTGGTGCCAGACTCTATCAAACGCCACTGCAACATCCAAAAATACACCAGCTGCATATAATTTTTGTTCTGAAGCTCCAGCAATATATTCCTGAACAATGTGCAATTGATTTGTCGTCAATTGGAATGTGTAAAAGCTGAACTGATGGTCAGGTATTATTTGTCGGTCAGTCAATATGTCAACAATTCTGTAGGATGAAGGATTGTATATATATACCAGGTTTACGAATCATTTTAATGAGTGAGCATTTCCATTGTAATGGGAATTTTGAAGTCCTTAGTATACAGTTGTAAATCATCAGAAATTCTAGAGCTTTCTTGAGCGTTTGTTCGAGTGCTTCGGCTGTTAAGTCATAACCAGGAGCTTTTCTTTTCAGCAATTGTTTGATTTGAATTGCAAATGGAGTAAAAGAAGGAATCGGCACTTTCAGCTGAAGTGGGATGTCTAATATGATAATTACTAGAGTCTCAAGTTCTTTGTTAGTGAAGTTTGTAAATGATTTAAATACAGAAGAAAAGTGGTTAGTGAAGAGTTCAGATTTTTCCTCATCCAAAACGGCCTAGGATCCTTCTTCTTTTCGGAGAGGTGCTGACAGCTCTTGTTGCTTTATCAACTTTTTGGTGTGCTTTCACAAGCTCCCATCGTCAGTCGAAAGACCATTTATGTATGCGTCATAGTTAGTCCTGTTAAATTTTTCAATTTTTCTTTTAAGTTGATTGTTTAGTCAGTTAAATGTCTGTCTATCTGATGGACGTATGTCAGTCTGCCATATTTTACACGCTCTTTTCTTTGCTCTGATTAAGTCTCTTATGTACTGAGGGTATTTCAGCAAGTGCTCAGAAGTCGCAGAATTAAGCTTGGGTGTTGATGAAGTCCTAGCTAGCTGCCTGTTGGGTATTTTTGGTGAAAATTTTCACAGCCTCCTCCAGTTCTTTTTCACTTTTTATAGACACTGGGATCAAAAGCAAAGAGTTTAAAAACTCTGTATAAGCCTCCCAGTCAATTGTTCCATTGTTAAGAGCTGGTTTCCTTTGCACGTTTATGGCCTCATCTAGCATAAATAAGGTGTAAAGAGCAAAGATCAGACCTCGTACTTATGAAACAAGGTACGGTTAGCAATCCTTTTATAATAAAGAAGTCCAAATGGTGCGGGGATTTGCATCTCAATACAGGCCAGGCCAGTATGTCGGTGTGTCAGGATTTATGGTGTTTAATGAAATCTCATGGATAGCAGCCCTTAAATTTCTTCCTCTTGATGGGCTTAGTCGTGACCCCCAATTTTGGTGCTTTGCATTGAAGTTACAACTTGCTATGAAACATCTACCTAAGCTTTGGAAGAAGTTGCAAAACATCAAAGATGTCAGCACATGTCTTGAAGGATAATACATGGAAGCCAGTGTCAATGTGTTGTGTTTCATGTATAGTGTGATGCCTGTGGACTGGATGTCATGTGTAGTTGGTAAATGTAAGTGGTTATGTGATAATGGTGATTTATAAGTACAGCCGAGATGTCAGGGTTGTCGGGGTGGTCTGTCCTGTGTGTTACATAGCCAGAAATATCAAATTTAGATCGTGGTGTAAGGTCGGTTTCTGTTATCAGTGCTACGTAAATACATTTTTTGTGGAGATATAAATCTTGTTCAGTTTTGCGTTGTGTCAGTCCGTTTGCATTCCAAAAAAGGATGGACAAAGAGTCTGCAGTCAGCTGCTGCTTATGAACCATTTTGTGGATACATGGTTTGAGTTACCTACGGGAGCTGTTTAAAATACCTGTGCTTTTGTATTTAAAATAAAAATTATGTTTCGGTATAATTGTACCATAAATAGTCTGATGAAAGTAAATATATATAGTGTTGATTGTTATATGTTCTTGAAATAAATTATTATTAAATTAAAAAATTACAAGAATAGCCACAAACGCTGGAGCTGCACCAATGTATGCATGTGCTTAAATGATTCAAATTTGCCAGGGCTCATGCTTATTTTATGTTGGAACCAAAGAATAAATCTTGAACAGTCACATTTGGGAGGGCTTATGAAAATGCTAAGAAATATTTTAAAATTATTTTAACTACATAATAAATATCTAGAAACTTAAAAAAATAATACTTACCAATGGATCCCACAGAAGTGTGAACATAATTACGGCAATAGATATAATGAAATAAACTTAACTGTATGTAAAAAATAGTATTGGTGGGGAGAGGTGGTGGGATGTGGTCAACAATCACATACACATGTTGCTACAATATTTATAATCAGTTTTCATCAGGACTTTCCTCCAACAATGCTAGAATACTCAAGGGTAGTGATAATAATTATGATTTTAAGTTGAAAATGTAATTATTCCTTGTTCAGGTATGAGAATGGTCATACTTTCAGGTATTATTGAATAGTTTTACAGTAGAATTTCTCGACTGAGAACTAATTATTAATTCACAAACAAAATATTTCTCACCAGAATAAATGTTTAGTTGTTTATTAGAATGAAGATCCTATTGCTAACACAGGAAAAATGGGTTATTCTACTTTTTTTTTTATTTCTGGCCTTCTCAGGATGTACCATAGCTTAACTACAACTAGTTGGAGTCTGTCTATTCTATACTTGATAACTTACCAGATTTATTTTTAAAATTTCTTTTTCTTTTAATCCTATGCTGAAGTCAAATTTTAATATACAGACCTCAAGTCACTTTACGATTAAATTGTTTATTTCTGAAGAAATATGTTTAATTCTTACCATTATTGAATTCATAGTGGTTTTTTATACATTGATACAGACACATTTTTTATTGAAAAAAATCATAATTCATTCTTTGAAAGCATCGATTCTAAAAGAATTGTTAAACCCTCTCAATATTTAAAATTTTATATTTTTAAGACACGTTGAATCCAAAAACAATTTTTGCTGCTGCTATTCGTATCAATTCAATTGAACTTAATACTTATTTTTTTCAACCTTTTTAATAAGTTCAGTAAAATAAAGTTTCTTACTTCAAGATGTAATATTCAAATATATAATAATAAAATCATTACCCATGTAGTTATAATTAACGAAACAAATGAGAAAAGGTTCTAAAATATGTTTTACTGCAGAAACGAGTGTAAAATTAAAAAAAAAAAAAATTCTGAACATCTAATGGTAATTATATTACTAGAAATGAGCATAAATTATGTAAACATTGATTGTTTATTATATATTTTTTGTAGATCTTTTTATCTTCTAACAAATCACTATAGTGCTATTTTTGCAATTTCCTTCAAATCATGAAGATGTTATGTCATTTCTGTAATAACCTATCCAATTATTACACAGTTTGCTGAAATTGACGTTTTATCTTCAGGCAAACCTAAATTGCTCTAAATATTCAACTCTCAGACATTAATTTCTTTCATGGCTATAATCTAAAGTCATTATAATCTTGCAAGAGTAGGAATCTCATCAATCAATGTGTTATTTTTAATATCTGCATTTTTTTACAATTACTTACCATGTTTTAGATAAATCTTGCTTATGCATTTAAACATTCTCTTTTCCTTATCAACTTTTGTGAAATAACCTTGATAATCAACTTGGAATTCATTTTTATTCTTACCTCATTTACATCAAAGGTGAATTTCGTTTTATGATGTCACATCGTTATTTATAAAATGTTTGTATCTAAGGAACTGTTCTTTCAACAGGAATTGATTGATTAACTCTCATTAAATTTTTGGGAGACCTTCAGGCCTTATTCAGGTATTAATTGAAGTATCTTTTTTTTTGAAAATTATAAAGATTTGTCTAATGTTTATGAGAACTTCTGAAAGTATCATGAAATAATAATTAGCTTTAAAGGACGAAAGTGTTATTAAAACATAATCAGGATTATTTTATTAGATATTTTATTGGTATTTGATTGGTTTTATCATTTCGTATGTATTTTTCTACATACAATGCATCATGTTAATTCTTTTCTCGAGAGTAAAGCAATAAGTAATTCATTAAAAGTATTTTAATGAAATCATCAAAAAGAAACAAAAATTATTTAACAAACTTGTCATGAGTCAAACTGATGGGTTGTTGTCAAATAAGTCAATAACAACATAAACCTAAAAATAAAATGCTATATAATAAAATATTATACTAAACCAATTCATACCATTATTAACAAAATGTATGCAAATTAAATCAATTTATATTTATACACATATATAAATATACATTTAAAATTACTTTGGCAAATATACTAAGTTAAAACACAATAATGGAGGAACTATGCTTTTGAAATAGATCCCCACCAATAACGTAACAATCTGTCTCTTATAAATGGCATCCAATTTTGAAACCAGTCTTGAATATACTTTAAGCTACAAAAGCAGAAAGATATGAATTAGACATATTTTTTAATTACTTAGAAATAACAATTAAAGATTTTTCAAAAAGCTCAATTATTTCGCAGCAAAACCCTATGATTCGATTTGATTATCAAAGGCTTAAATAGTTGCCTCCCAGCGTATTATAAATTATATTATTAACAAACATTATAATTATATTATTTACAAAATTTCATAATAGCATAAAATATTTTAAAATTACATAAATATATATATATGAATAATGTAAATTTTTTTAAACAATCGCTTCTCATCACAGCCCCCACTGCCATCCAAGGGACGGATAATGCAGATATTTTTTACCTTGGATATTTACACGTTTTACAAATATTTGCTTTTTTTTTCTTCTTTTTTATTATATACAGAAATAAGAGAACGGTAGAGCAGCCACGAAATGTCATTAAGGCGGCGCTGGCTTCACTTCCAACAGCTGAGGATAGTTGTCTACAATATTGAGCAGGATGCCATCGATGTAGGCTCTCAGTTGAGCATTCACTTCTTGTTGTTCCTTTAATGCAAGTCGCACCTAGAAGATAGAAAAAAACAATAATTAATGGTAATTTCAACAAAACTTATTAAGTTTTAATAATATTCAAATGCTTTACTCTTCACACATTTTCTTATGAAATGAATTAACTTTTTATTTTTTTGTCGTTATAATAACTAGAATAATTAACTAGAATATCATAAAAAATAATTTTTCCATAACCCCTTCAATGCTTGAAATAATTTTTCATTTGCTTACTAGATGCCTATACTTAGTTTTGTTATTAAAAACCTTTTAATAATAAAGGTAATATAAAAACTAAATCATAATGCTAAGTTAATAATAATAATAATGTTAAGCTACTTTGCATAAAATTTAAGAAATTATTTTCAAATAAATTAATATTTTTTAGAAGTTTATTTATATTTATTATCAAAAACCTGTCCTGAAGATGTTTTTTTTTAATTATCTCAATAAATAAAGTATTTTAAAAGGAAGTTTAACATCTTAGTGAAAGATTATACTTTTTTCTTTCACCCTACATAACCATTTCTGGCATCCAGGTCTAAAAATTAATTCCAGAATCCCATTCATAGCGTGATCATAAAATCTTGGCCCACTCTTCAAAGTGGAGGAACAATTTAGTACACAGTAGTACAGAGAAAAGGTCTACCTTATTGAGGCAGATAATGGTCTACATTAATAAATCCACAAAACAATTTTAGTTTTGTACTGGATCCATCACTTGATAAATTGTGAAAATTATAAAATAAGCTGCTTATTGGTAACGTTTCATACTTAAAACATGGCCATTATTCAAATTAAAGTTTATTCTACAACTAATAGTTTATTATTTAATCATAATTATTAAAGAAAATGTATTACATGTTCCTCTGATGACAAAACTTTTTTATTTTTTATTTTTAGATAATACATAATTTATTAGTGGGAAGATCACTTACATGAATACTCAAAAGACAAGAATATAAATAATAATTTTATACCAAAAAATAAATATATTAACAGAAAATTTAAAATTAATGTTTTTATTTGGTGAGTTATTTTTTTCTGGAATTAACCATATTTGGTTTTAACAGTGAGTGTCAACTAAAATTGTATCTTATAGAACCATAATTTTATCTAGCATCAGTTGTTTAGAATTCAAAGAAAATTTACTTAATCTCTTGATTAAAGCTAAAAAAAAAACCAAAACTGAAATCACAAATAATTTTTGGGTCTCAAATATTCAATGGTTTGAAAAATGTCGCAAATGACATAGCCTTCCCTAGCATCACACAAGAAAACGACAAGTCATTTAATTTGGGAAATCTCCTAAAACAATTCTTAAAAAATTTAATATAAAAATTTATGTTTTAATTGATTTTAATTTAGAATCTTTGAAAATTCATTGTTTTAAAATGTTTCCTTCACTTTTAATTTTTTTTGGGATTGCTCATTGTTGATTTATTTTTCATATACTTCATTAACATTCTAATTATTAAATAATCAGTAATTTTCAATTCTAAGCTTAGAAATGATAAATACATGCACAACACAAAAATTCTGTTCCAAGCATTCATGCGAGATATCTAAATAAATATAACAAAAAGGCAAATATAAAATAAATTTGATTAAAAATATATACAGAGATATAATATTACTTAGAATAATAGACTAATGGACCGACCAAATGAAAATTTGGAAAAAGAATTTAATATATATAATGAAAATTAAAAATCTGTCTAAGATTGAAATTCAGTACACTATAATAATGTTAATAATAAGACAGTATATGAATAAAAATATTTTATTTGCATAAAATACTCAGTAGAGCTCGGCCTACAGTTCCTCTGAGTATCGCTATCAAAGCTGTCGTTTCAGAAGAATACAACATATCTTGAGGCCAAAATTCAAAATCCGATCGACTCCTTCTTCTTTTCAACGGATATATTGATCTCGGGTCCATAATTCTATCATTCTAAAGGGGAAAAAAACCAAACATAAATAAAACTACTGATGAGCATACAAGGGAATAATCTAAACATAGGGCACAGAAGGTAAATAAACAGTTGTTAGTAATAGATAGGATAGTTGTCAAAGTTTTACAAATAAAAATCGACTGTATTCAAAAAGAAACGACATCAAAAATTAAGAAGACATGTTTAAAAACAGTAAATGGAAGAGTATGTTAATATCATAATTATTTTACAGTAAAACCTCCTAAAAAACATTAAACAAACCCAATTTTAATTTATTACATTTCTATTGCAATTTTTATCAATTAATGCATTTAATTGATCTAAAAAAGTATTTGCAGCCTTCTATTAAGAAATTCCACAAAATGCTGACAATTTCAGCAGAGAATCAGAACCATAAAATTTAAGATTCCATTGATGAAGTCATGCTTCCTAATTTCAAAGCATAAATAATAATTTAATAATGTTATTCAATATCACCAGTTGGATTTCTTTTAAAAATAATGAAATAACAGTGAACTAAAATTATATGATAGTTCAATTACACTCAGTGTACTCATCAATTAATTATTTATCTAATTTTGGTATTTCTAATAGATAGTAATAACTTAGATTAGGCACTCATGTCACAATACAGCAGCTGGATAGTAAGTTTAGATTTTTTAAAAAATTAATAGAATAATGCATCACTGTTTTTTAATTATTGAGTAATTAGTTTTGATAAAGTGACATGATATATTAAAGCCTTCCTGATAGATAAAATATGATTTCTAGTTGTATGATTACTAAGAGCATGACAATCAGTTTTAAATAAATGCTTCATTTTTTAAGTTCAAATGAATTTATTTTTAAGTTCAAATGAATTTATTTTTAAGTTCAAATGAATTTTTTAACACATTTATGCTTGTACTGTTTTCAACTTTTATCAACATGTTAATAAATTATTTTTCTTCAATTGATAACACGGTACATTTAGGTTTTTTAATGAAATGTTAATGAATGGAATTTTACCATTCAGAAACTCTGAAGTAATTCAGTAATAAATACAAGAGAATGGTTGACATAATTATGCCGTAATTAGAGGTAGCAAAGAAACTATTACAGCTTCTAACTCTCTTGAAAATGTTCGCTACACAGGATGTCCTGTAAGTAGAGGAAAATATGTATGAGTTTGATAGCAATCATCAAGATCTATAAAAAAGTTTATATAAACAATGGTCCGATTTCCAGCAGAATAGTAGGAAATTTAAGTTTTGTGTTGTTTTTTTGGAGATTAGGGAATGATAACTAAAAATATATTTAATTTAAGTAATTAACAATTGCTTCACAATAAGTTAGAAAATATTTACTTAGACTTAATGTTGAGTTAGTCATTGTTAAAACCATTTAAAGAGAACTTTTGAGTAGCTAAACAAAGTTAAGATGATGAATTATTTGCAATTTCTTTTCTTTCTTTTTTATCACCCTTCAACTAAACTACAGATACCCAACTTTTAGAAAAAACGTTCTTTTGTACAACAAGATGAAGGTTTATCATGAAGTAAGTTGAGATTCATCTCATGTATACAAAAATGATGCAATTTGATATCCTGTCGCCTAAAAGTTCCTGTGCTTTAAACAAAAATTACTAAAATAAATTATTGCACAGCTTTAGTCAACAGGTTTGTTAATTTTAAATGTAAACATTTTTTTAGCTCATCTGGTATAAGTCAATATGATATCTGATTGAAAATAAGTTTCAATTGTTCTCTGTCTTTTTTTCTTTATTCAATACATGATATAAACATATAAATAGAATATATTATTTATTAACATCAAAAGATCATATTTGAAGCAAATAATAGTAATTAATAAAATATTATACAATTATTGATCTGATTGTATACTATTAGATATAAAGTTTTTTTTTTTTATGAAGATAAAATTGGATGTTGAAGTATAAAACTTGATGTACCATGAAAATTAACCAAGATTTTCTCTTATTTGTTTTCTTATTAGTATCCATAGCCTATTAATGAGGTTAATATCTAATTAATGAGGTTTTACTGTATTATTATACAAACAAACAGAACTCTATTTCGCCATAACCAGTCACATAATTAATATGTTAGTAAAAGTCTCTTTAATCTCGAAACAAAACGTCATGCTAATTTCAACCATGCTGAAAGTATGATTGGAAAATATTGAAATTTTCCACTTTTTAATCTGTCTTTTATCATACCTCACATTTATCGTCCTTATTGAAAACATCAGCAGGCTGTGAAAAAAAAAAATAATACAGGGTAGCTATACTACTAGTTCAGTCCATTGCTCATCTATACTAAATGTTCAAATCTAACATGATTTCATTTACATAACAAAATATGTTTAAATATATATATATATATATATATATATATATATATATATATATATATATTTCTGTTGGTTTAAATTAAATTTATTGAATTTTCATCAAAATTTTTAACATTAAGCAAATGAAATCACTATAGTAAAGGTATAATTTTAACAAAAAGGAAATCTTTTAATTTACTAAAACACTTATGTAGGTACAGATACATGTAGTATACATATGTAGTAGGATTGATCTACTATCTTTTCTTTTTTTTTTTGTTTATTAATAAAAGCATTTTCAGGTATAAGTAAGCTTATGTTACATTTCCGCAAAAGGTATTATGTTTACCGATATTGATTATTTATATGTTTGATAGATAAATGAATTATAACTGTTATGTTTACAGATTTATCTGCTTTCTAAGTGTTATTTTAAATAATTAAACATAAATAATGGTGAATACTTTGGTTAATGAAAGTTTATTGGATTAGTATGAAATAAATGCGGAGTCATTGAATTATTTTTAATAATCTTGTGGAATTATCATTAAAAAAAATGTGTGAGAATAGACAAGAAAGAATGAAATTAAGATTTATTAATCAAGTAAGGTGGAAGTATGTATTATAAAACTATTGGCGATTATTCCTGAAAAGTCATAGCAATGTAAGCTTTTCATTATTTGAGATAACAACAACCGAGTAGGAACAGCATTCACAACAGTATTTGCGCTCCTGAATAACCACTGATTTTTGACAATCAGAAATAAAGAAAATAGATGAAATTATCAAAATGTGAAATGTCTAGATTCATGAGGTCGTGTTGGCTGTGAGTTTTAGCAATCCTCACTTTAACCATTTAATCATTATAAATCTAATTAATTATGATATTTTTAGTTAATGAGCTATCACATTCTTATAAATCAGGGCAGAACAAACCTTTTATCAAATTTTTAAAATAGCCACTACCAAAGAGAACCATGCACTGGTGAAATGACAGTATTTGCGATTATTATAGTTTCTTACATATAAATGTGAACCAGGATTCTGAGAAATAAAGATGAGTCATCAGCCAAGGTTTTTTTTAATTATACTAAACAATTTTTTACTAATTCCCATAAATATATTTAGCATACGTGAAAAAAACATTAATGTTCTAGATGGCGTATATGAGGAAGTAACATTCATGCGAAAAACAGAACACTAACTAATTTCTTCATGTTTATGTGCTATGAATTAACACTCTAACTGCAGATTATGGAATATAATAATAATAAAGAAAATTTAATGAGTAATAGTTAAGATGGTAAAGTATTTGGTAAGGTGCAATTCCATGATTGAAGTATTGAATATAATCAAGATAAAACTATTGAAGTCTTGCCTACTTTAACATTGGGCACACCGGTTGGAATCTGGCCTGTGCGGATTTATGTAGAATAAGTTTTAGAATAAGCTATGTAGAGATATTGATAATTATAACAAAGGGACCAGGAATAATTCAGACAATGAATGTTGTTGACCAACTAAAATTTGTTGGAATAATGTTCAATAAGCATAATTATAAAAATCAACATAACATCAGAGCAGTGACAAAACTGAGGACAATGTGCTAACGTAAGTATTTTTTCCTATGTACTCTTTTCACTTATTGAAAAAAAGTAGCCAATTTTATCCTTATTCCTTAGGCACAACTTATACAGTTGTTTTATAATTAGGGTAAAATTAAATTTTTTCGTACGCTTTTTTTTTTTAATTCTCAACAAATGGCAAGCACCCCAACACTTCCAAGCCCCAAGTGCATCTGTTCGACATTGCATACCGTTGCAATAGATAAATAATGCTTAAAAGGCAATTTGTTTGTCCATGTGATTGAAATGTCTTACACTAATGTTCTCCACAGTCTCTGCACTCCGCGATTGGTGTTACTTATGGTACTGCATCAGATACAAATATGATATTTATTGTGCAAAACTGAACAAATATTTGGTATATCATATTAGTAAGTATAATAAAATGTGTTCGCATTTAATGACAAATATCAGTAGTTAAACTTATATTATCCGAAAAAATGTGAACTGATATAAATTGAATTGTTTTATTTTAGAGAGGAAATGGGTTTGCGGGAACTGGAATTGTGTACCAATGAATCATTAGGAGAATACCGTATAAGGTGTGGAGTAAAAAAATGAAAATAGCTATGAAAAAAATAAATGCCAGGACCTAGGTGTCCTGATGCACACAAACTTTTTACACAATATTTACTCAACCATGCCTTAATTCTCTAGCATTAATTTGAAAAAAAATCTTACTTCATCTTGTGACATAGCTTCTAATTCTGCAGCAAGGCTTTGATGACCAGTCAAAAGACTGCGTCCCTCTTCAACACTACGAGTCAATAACAAGGCTTGCATTTCATCATGAGCTTCTTGAAGTCCTGAAACAATTTTTTTTTTTTTTAATTACTATTAAGTTTAATTTAGTTTAGAAGTTTCACTTTTGTAAAGGGCTTATTAAAATTGACTTCATTCAAAATTTCTTTTATTAATTTAGTACTACATTTTATGTTGGCATTTCAAGGATTCACCTAATTTTAAAAAAAAAGAATTAAAATTATTTATATAACCTAATGTAATTGCTATGTCCAAAAAAGGTTGATAACAATGCTGTGTATAAAGCAATCCTATGTAGGAAGGCAGAACTACTTTGAATAAAGTATCTCTCTCTTTCTTTTTTTTAATGTTATCTTACTTTTATCAAGTTAATTTTTAATATATTCACCATTATTTTTGAATCTCCATTTACTCATTTATAATTTATTTATTATCATTTAATAAAATATTGGTTGTTAGTTTGGTGTTTATTTTATTGTTGGGAGCTATTCTATTGACTATGTAAAAAATAACAACAATGCAGTACTAAATTAATAATATAAAATTGAAAGAAAGGATTTTTTTTTTTTATTCAAAAAATATACATCCAGTATATGTGCACTCAAGAATATAATAACATGAAAACGCTTGTTGAGAAACTATCCACTGGTAGCACTCAAATGAAAGAAAGTTAAATTTGAAAAATACACGTTTTAAACATTTAAAAAAAAAAAAATAGAGAACAAATAATCAAAAAGAGATTATTCAAATAGAAATTGTATTTAAGACAAAACTTACGGGAGTTTTCTTCTTTTAAAGCAAGAAATTGAGATTGCAGGTTTTCATGGTCACTGGGGCAAATGCCTGGGCCTCTTGAATCTAGTTCAGCAAGGGTTCTTCTCTGCTCGCTACGAAGCCTTTCAATTTCATCACTCAGTTCCTCTATAACCTGAAAATAAACAAAAACAAATGCGGATAGCCATAAAATATAATAAATGAATTATAAAAACTATGTTTTTTAACAACCCATGAAGCTACTGGGGACAAGTATTTAAGTAGAGATCCCTGATTATTACTTAATAATAATCGTGGAACAAAGTATAATAAGTAGTGCCAAACATCAGGCTTATGTCAGGTAACATTTTTTTCAGAGTTGATAGAGTTGATTTGAGTGAGCCAGAAACCCAATAAAATAAAGTTCCCATCCTAAAAAAAAAATGCTATTTTTCTACTGAGAGAATATTGAATGCAATAACTAACCAGATTATTAGTTATAAAGGGAAAACCAATGCAAATCCCCAGGCTAACTCACTTTTTTCTAACATAAAACTTAGTGTTATAAATTTTAATAATATAAAGTTAAGTGAATCATTGATACACCTACTATTCTTGCAACTATACTGATGTTGAGATTTACTCCTAAAATAGGGATAATTTAACATCATATTTCTCATTCAGAGTCAAACTTTTACTAACAAATAATCGAAAATGAATTAATGCTTGGTGTTTTTCATATTCGGAAACATAAACAAAAATGTTGAGGTGTCATATACACAATAATGGCTTCTGTCTTGGAAATAGAAAAAAAAACATATTATTAAAAATTTGTTGAGTATAAGATGATTACATTATTTTATGTTATATCTCACAAATGAAAATAAGAACTACTGGTGAAAACTATAGAATAAAAAACATGAAGAATTAAAGCCTTCTGAAAAATTAGTTTATTTATGAATATAACATTGAACTGTAATAATTCCAAATAGATGATAGATGAACTAAATAATAATTGTACAAAAAAGAATCAGATTGATAAGAGAATGATGGTAAAAATCTGAAGAATTTTCACATATAGAAATTCACAATCATGAGCATATAGTTAAATGATACGAACAAATCATTAACAGTAATAATTAAAACTAATTGTAATTTTATCAATTATTAATCTATAAAAATCACAATGTTCGTTTAAAACATATTGACATACCTGCTGGTTTGCTTGCAGAGTTTCCCTGCTTTTCCTCTCTTGCTCTCTGAGATTTGCAATTTCCTCCCTCAAAGAAGTTATTAAGATCTCGTTCTCATTTAACTGCTCCTCCAGCCTGGCAGTTTCTACTTTGAGCCGATCGCTTGCAGCTTTGCATCGGCTTGCCTCCTCTCGCAAGGTTGAATTTTCCAATTCGAGAGTTTGCAATCTGTAAATAATTGTTTCACACAATTAAATAATCATAAAAAATTATTTTCTTAAACTTATAATACGTAATAATAAATCAACAGAAACATTCTGAATTTATCCTACTGATTATTTTTTACCATATCTTGTTATTTATTAAAATAACGTCTTCTTAATTGAACTGAACTGAAGAAGATTTAGAAAATAAACAGAAGCTCCATCTTTAAGTTCTATCTTTGAATTCATTGAAACACAAGACTCTATTTTGGTCTAGCTATGTCCCTTCTCATTGCAAGTTTTGATAAATATTGATGTTGTTCAAATAAATAATTTCTTAGATATAATAAATGCCTAAAAATACATACGTAATAATGGAGTTAATTACCTGATGGCACAGTTTTCAACCTGAAGCTGCTTCTCACGATCGACTCGAGCAACTAGCTCTTTATGCCTCCGCTCCTGCTCTGCCAATTTCTCTTCACTTCTGGTTTCGACTTCTCTCAGTTGTTCTTCTAACATAAGAACCCTGAAAAATATTTCAGACCAAATTATTTATGAAGCAAGACATTTAAAATATTTTACAAGTAAAAAATTATGAACATAAGTATTAAACTTGAGAAAACTAAACATAATCTGCTTAAAAATTAGTCTGTAATTTACTTTATTGAAAAACAGCATTGGATTTTTATTTTATATTAGTTTATTATTACCAATATATATAAAACATTTTTTTTAATATATTGTATAAAAAAATGTATTGTACAAGGGTAAAAAGATACATTAATATATAGTTAAAAAATATTTTAATCTTCTAGCATTAGACCATTAAGTTATAGTGATAAGGGCAACTCAGCTCAGCCCATAGAAATTTAATTATATTTAGAATATATGTTCTTCTTAATAATGGCCTAAGGACTGAAACATTAGTGTAGAGAAAAAAATAAAGAAGGACTAATGTGATCAATTAGTGTTTTTATAGTATCTTTTACTAAGATATATTAATTTCAGTTATTAAGGTTTAATTAATTAGGCTTAACCTTTCTAGAATATTTTTAATATATTTTCCAAAAACAGAGAAAAGTTACAAAATAATAAAATAAATGACAAAAAAGCACATCAAGATTATTGAGTTCTGTGTTATCATCAGTTTATAGCAAAAAGTTGCTAAGTGAAATTTTGATAAAGGATAACTTTCAAGTAAGTTTTTGTGAATTTGACCTTATTTATCTATACAAAATTGTTGGAAATGCCTGGAAATGGCGCAAACCCTTTTATTTAACACTAATTACACTAAGTGCACAATGTTCTGATTATAAAGAGGGAACATTTTTAAAAGTACACGGTGATTCCATTTTATCATGTTTAACTTAGTGACTTTTTGCAATATACCCACTGTATAGAATAGTGAAATACCAAATGAGTTTATTTTAGAACTTTTAATAAAATTTATTATTTTAAGTATATTCTGAAAAAGGAATCATAAGTTTTAATAATCAACCAATAAATCAACGACCAATATCAAAAAACAGTATCAACTCAAAAAATTATTTTAGTTTTTAAATTTACATAGCCATATATATATTTAACCATGATTTACTTTATTTATTTATAACATTTCAACAATCTCAGGCCATCATTGTGTATTTTAGAGATATTAAAAAATATTCCTTCACTGAAAACTTACTAAATAATAATATTGATTTTAGTTGAGAAATCCACACAATTATAAAATGAGATTAAGCATAAATTAAATCATACAATCAACTTTATATTCATTTTATTGATAAATCTGGTTTGTCAAGTCATGCAACCTCATATATAGAATCCAAATAAATTAGTAGAGAAAAATTTTAATATCTGTGTTGATGTATTACAACAAAACACCTAAGCTGACTAATAGGCCTTTTTTTATAATTATATTCTTACAGAAAATACTGTAATAATATTATAAGAGATCAACCTAAGGGTTTAAATAAATAAATAAGTTAAATAAAACTATAATTTTTCAATTTTGTCTGACTATGGATATGCCATATGTATGTGTTGAAATATGAAACATGTTTATTTTAAATGTATATGATTGTTCTATCTAATAACCACATAATAAATGTAATAATCAGCCATGTTTATATTTTTAAAGATTTAAAAAATTAACATTAAAGGGGAAAAAGCAATATGTGTTAAAATTAGGAAGTAAATGTTAAAGATTAATTAAGATTAATCATATAAAATACTTACACTTAAAACTTTCGGGTATAGAAGTAAGCTGATGATTGATCACTAGTGAAGTGCGAACTTATCAATTAAAGCATCTCAAAAACAATGGCATGTTCGGATTGGTCGTTACAAACCAAGCAAGAAAAACCAACTGGAACCTCCGGATTGTATAACGCGGCTTGTGATTGGTCATAGTTTCACTCTCAATGGAACAATGAATCGTGAAAAATGGCGGGGGGCAGGATCCAAGTCATAGTCCACGTCTTTCATATCCTAAGAACGTGCTTTGCATCCACCAAGAAGTGCGCTCTTCAGCATCCTAAATGCACTACCTCTTTCCGACAGAATATTTAATTAGTGATCGAAAATCGAATATTGCACAGCTGAGTGTATAGAAGGAAAACGGTGTATGCAAATTAAGTTTCGGACCAGCAAACACTAGAAAGAAATTTAAAATTTAAATTCCACGTCGTGACGACAGCGACGGCATAGGGAATTTCTCTCAATTCCTCGATATTCTTCTGAGAGGAAAGAAAAAGAGCGAATCACACATTTATTGATTATACTAAAAACCGTTTCAAGAGTTTTCAAAACAACAGCAAGCGATAAAATAGTGATGCCGAAATCGTTACTAGACCGAAAACCAATTAACTTTAATGACAACTTAGTTTTTTAACGTTTATCACTTATAGCCCTTAGAGGGCTTTGAGCTCGGAACTTGCTAACGAAGTACTATATCGAAGTTAACAATTGTATGAAGTTTATGGTCACCATTCATATTCAACCAGCATGATTACTACCCCAACCCAAGTAAGAGTACAACGCACAAAGATTATTTTTTCTGTTGCTTTGTGCAGAAACTTCCTGATAGATTGCTCCGAGCAACATGTCCCGCCTATCTTAACCTGCTTGCCTTATTTTTATATGATATTGATTGATCAGTTTTCGTTAGTAATTCTTTATTGGTCCTTCTCCTCCTTGTGGCAGCACTCTTATTCCAGAACGATCCGGTTATCGTGTGGAGGATTTTCTCCTCAAAGTTTTTAGTACTTCTTTCTACGGTGCTGATTAGCTCTGAGGTCTCGCAAACGTGTTTCAGAACTGGCTTTATCATTGCTTCGAACACCTTAAATATGAAATTCCAATATGTTTGAGAGTGAGAAGAAAATTCTGTTTGCGCTTGTTACATGCTGATTTATTTCTGACCGTTGGTCACTCATAGAGGTTATGGTGGAGCCGAGTCAGGAACCCAGTGCTAACTAGTTATCTGCCACAATTTTTTTTTTAAATTAACAACTATTTAATTTTCATAAACCATTTATTTTTCTAGTAATAATAATCGTAAAAGCAAGCTGATACAAAAATAGCAGCGATACAAAATATCTGAAATAAATCCTACTGAATTAAATTGTTATTGCTATGTCGGTGTGATACGGATAGATAGAGGTAAATTCAATTTCGAAAAGTGTAGATATTAATTCTGGTTTTAATAACAGGATAAATCCTTTTTTTTTTTTAATAAACTATTTTACAGATTATATTCACGACATTACCTTTCGTTTCTCTTTGTTGTTCTTTTTGGAGTCACGATGATCGAAGACATCGTAAATAAAATGAGTATGCAAAAAGGAATCCTATAGGAATACTATACCAAAAGCAATCCAATGCGAATAATCCAGGATATGTATGAAAAATCAATGGCATCTTATTGGAAATTGAAAGGGGGAAAGTGCAGAGAGAAAACAGACGCTCCGATGTTACCGCAAAGGAAATATGCATACAACAGAAAGCATCGCTTCTAACTTTTCTTATTATGAAGCGAAGGTGCGATGGTAACATTAGGCTCGATTTAGAAAAGTTAAAAGTTGGACAACGATTAGTAGAAGATTCCTGTTCTCTTGGATTCAATATCGAGACTTCGTTATCATCAAAGAAATCAAAAAAGTTTTAAAAAATTAAATCATATTGAAGTATGCATCATATAAGCTTTTCAGTAGACAGAATGATATTCCAATTTCAACATATCTGAATAAAGTTATTTAAGTGATATTTCTAGTAGCAAAATTAGTAATGTCTCTAAAGATAACGTTTAAGTTTATTCCAGAAGGTGATTGCAGTGTTGAAATATAGAACTGTTAAAAAAGTCATACATTTTTCCACAAGAAATATCACTAAAAATAATAATAAAAAATAAAGGAAGGAGATGGTCCGGGGTGGCGGTCATAAATAGGCTAAATAGTGGCAAAACTATTTCATTAAAAACCCGACTTTGCAGGTCTTCTTCAGGGCTAGAACGAACAAGATATAAAAATATATAGAGAATTCTGGAAGTTACATAATAATTTACATAATATCAAGACAAAAAAATTATAAACAACGTGAATAAGCTTATTAAAATTATAAACAGTAAGTACATTAAAATATAAACAGAGTAAGCTAAGTAACAAGATCCTAAAGTGAAGTAAATAGATGGTAACAATTGTTGTAGTGGAATATATAATATATGGAAATCTGTAAAGATCTACAGAAGAGATTGAAAGAAAAGGAAAAAGGATATTATAATTTGAAATAATAGAAATAAAGGAATGTCGAGAAAGAAAAGAAAATAGAAAACCAAAAAATAAATAAATAAGTATATAAAATTTGATAAATAAAAATAGAGACGTGTTCAGCTAGGAGTTTCACTTAGAACTGGTAAATCAGGTAGGTATTGGGGAAATTTTTGCTGACCTGTTTGGGTAATGTGGGAAAAAAAAATGGAAAATTACAGTGTCTAAAATTTGAAGATATGGATGGATACAAGGGAAAAAATACTATATCTATGAAATAATAAATTATAAATGTATACAAATACATATAAAAAATTTTACAATGTAAATAAAAACAAAAACAGAAGAAGTAGAAAAATTAGTTCCGTTCTAGTCCTAAAGAATAAAGAAGACTTGCAAAGTCGAGTCGAACGTTGGCTTTTAATAAAATAGTTTTGCCACAATTTAGCCTATGTATGACCGCCTCCCCGGACCATCTCCTTCTTTTATAATGCAACGGTCAACTATTAATAATAAAAAATGTTGAGATTGGAGTTAGTCATTTTGTCAACTGAAAGGCTAATCTGTAAAAAGATATGTAAAGATAACCAACTTAAGGCCTTTAAGTTGAGGGGACTTTTGTTATTGCAATAACAATGAAATTACGAATTAATTTCGTTGCTGACACGACACGGTATGTAAATGAACTATATATTTTTTTGTTGAATATTCACAAAAATATCAAGTTATAAATATACTTTTTATGTATGAATTGAGTTATAACTAATATCAATGGGTGGTTTTAAAAGATATTTTTTGTCAAAAAATTTTAATGAAATTTATCTAGATCTAGTTTTAATAATAAAGATTTTTTATTATTGATTTATAGAATTACAAAAAATAAATCTACATATCAAATTGACTTGTAATTTCCATATAAATATTTTGTTTACTAATCCAATTAAAACAAATTCAAGATAAAATATTTATATAATAACAATGATATATCAGTAGATTATCCAATACTAATTATGGTAATTTTTAATTAAATTGATAAATCACTTCTTTTTTTTTCAAGAAAATTATATTTTTTTTATTTATCTATATCACTGTGCAGTATTGCCAAAAGCTATTTATAAAATGTTTTAATATAAATTATCCTTTTTATTTTAGTTACATAAAATACAACAATTTTTCCTCCTCGTGCCATTGCATAATCCACTAGCGTGATTTCGATAATACATAATTCAAAAATAATAAAATTTAATTTGATCCATTTAATCACACTCGCAGTTTGCATGAGAAGATCATTAAATTGATATCTAAAAACTGCAACGCTGGTTGAGATATTTTGTATTCATAGTAATTTAATCTGACATTTTTTCGCATGATTTCGTCAAAAGATTTTTACGTAAATATAATATTGATGTAATATTGGTCCTGTAGTTAAATTAATAGAAAAAATATTTAGCGTAATTTCTAGATAAAAATATTTTTAAAAAATCTTTATTATGCCTCCTAATTGTTGTACTTAAGTATACCAATTCTATTCCTCTTACCATGTTATCGAAATTTGACTGTTATCATTATTAAACATTTGAGGAAAGCTTAAATGAATTTGCATGTTTCCAACATTTTTGTTCTACTCTTATATTTTCATACATTCACTATTATATTTACTTAAAAAAGTAAACAGGTCCAGTATTATTTGTGTACTTTTTGAGTTACTGACAAATAAAACTGTGAATCCATTATTACTTTTTTCAAAAAAATATTTGAACTCACTTTGCTAATTGGGTGAAGGTGAAACATTTAGATAAAAATTGTTAACGGAGGTCCGGTTTGTGGAATTTCGTGTAATTAAAGTGGTCTTAAATTCTAATTAATTTTCTTGTGGATGAGTGTCGTCAAGCTGAAGTTATTACATATGTTGTGATTTCCGAAATCGAAGGTTCCGATCTACGTGAAAACATAAGGAAATTTTTCATTTTTCGATTGCTATGAAAAGTCGTATTTGAGGTGTTTTTCAGTTATTTTATACTATAACAATATGTTAGATACATAAATTTGTCTTAATAGAGCTCTCCATAAAATTATGAACATAAAAACAAGCAATAAAAATGTCTTACCGTGCATGATTCTATTCGATTTCGATGATTTGTTTCCTTTTATTTTTTATTTTTTTTATTTTTTAGGGAATTCAGGAAGATTTAAATACTCATAGATTTAATTAACAACCGAAAATTGTGTAGTTTTTGAGTTATTTGCGAATACAAATCTGAATTCACCGTTAATATATTTTAGCTTCTTTGCGGCGAAATATGTTGTTTTCATAAATTAAAAGAAATTGAAGGAGAAGACTTTATCTCAGCCTCATTAAAAGTGTTACAGCCGTTTTTCCGTTATAGTATGTAGCGACACATGTTTTTCGTCCGCCATTTTGAAACCGAAGGCCGGATGGTAATGAAATGTGTACAAAAACACTGTTGAATATTGAGTTAATATTGTAAGGTGTTGAATATTGTAAGGTCGTATAAAAATTTCAAAGTAATCGGCGAAGAACTTCCACACTAACAAACATTTACATTTAAATTTTTATTTATTTACACTGTTTTCAATTTTTTTTTTTTTTTTTATGGATAACAATATAACTCGTCGATAGGTACTAAACAAAAAGAAAATCGGTTAAGAAACAGAGAATCTATGAACATTTTACAGATATTGTATTTTTTCTTGTATCCATCAATATCTTAAAATTTTTGATATTGCAATATTCTGGTTTTTTACTTTGTTTTACAACTTATCCCCACCACCCCTTACCAGGTCAGGCTATTTTTCTCATGTATTTTCCCCAATATTTCTCCAGTTTCAACCGAAGCTCCATTCCGTACATATCCGCGTCTCTATTTTTATTTTATTTATTTATTTCCGTTTTCTTCACTCTCCCTTTATATACACTATTTCTTTTATTATTATTATTGTTTTTTCTTTTTCTTTCTATATTTCCGTGTGATCTGTAGGATTATATTCATGATTACTTATATTATCCATCCTCCTTATTATATTCAATTTTTTCTATCTGCAATATTATAGAATAATTGTTACCATGTATTTACTTCTGTTTAGGGTCTTGTTATTTAGTTCTACTTCGTTTACTCTGTTTATATAGTTTCTTGTTCTTTAATGCTTCTATGTACTTTCCATTCACACTTTATCTGTATCCATTCACCGTTTATCTGAATATTTTGTAACATACACATTTTTCTATATCATTTTGTATCTTGTTCGTTCTAGCCCTGTAAAAAGACCTGCAAAATCGTTTCGAAACGTTAATTTTAGTAAAATAGTTTTTTTTTTCCCACTATTTTAGTCTTTTTATAACCGCTACCCCGGACTATCTCCTTACTCTATTTTAAAAAAAAAATGTATTATGTTCAATAATTTTCACAAAATTGTTGTAAAATAAAAATAATTGTTAATCTTACCTCGCCTGTAATGTAGCATTGTCTTGCTTCGCACGCGTGTAGCGCTCATCGCTATGCGTCTGATTATCTGCGAGAACGCTCATCTGCTGCTGTAGCATCTGAACCTAAAAAAAAATAATAATATTATGAAAAAAAGAATAAATATATAACAATATTGAATGCAATGTTATTTATTAAATTATAAAATATAATATTGTATTGTTACTTAACGCGTAACAATAAGTATGGATTCTTTGATGTTGTGCCTCATAACTAATAAATATCGACCTGCACATGGAAATTTTTGAAAAAATTAATATCAACCATTTGAGATTTGTTGAAATGGATATTGTCGAAAAATTATGAACATAAATAAATAATAATCATGAGAGCTCAAATAGGTAATTAGAATACAATGGTAGTTTCACAGATTTTTATAAAAAATATCCGAGGTCATCTGAAGATTACTGTATTATAAAAGTAACTGAAATATAAACTTATAACTAGTGTAGTAGTTAACATTTTTTTATTTGTCTTAAACTAATATAGTGTTTATTTATATATGTACACAAAATATAGCTCAATTATGTTATATTATGGTGATAATTATGTTTTATTTAAAAATATTTTTTCGAAGTTTTAATTTAAGTACTCATTCTAAAAAATTGTAGGGTCAAATGTTTTGATCTATTACTGTGTAACGATAGATGATTTCAATCATTTTAATTATTTTGTCATGTTTACTGTGTTATTATTGAAATTAATATAGTTGCAACTTTTATAAGAAAAAACATTTTAAATTTAAGGACAATTTTGTGGTTAAACTATAAAAAACAATAGATATATTTCAATCATTGAAAAAAATAATAGTGAAGAAATGGTTGACTGTAGAAAATTTGTTGTAGAAAATTTGGTTTGAGGCGCTATGAGTAGGGTACTCAAGCAATCGTGTACATAAATGCATAATAAAACAAAAACATATTAAAAAATTATATAATAAAATACATTTTTCTGTCTTACATTGACTGCAGCCCACAACCAACTTCTACATTGACAATATAGATCATAATAGATATTTTCCCTTGTTTTACTTTTCAGGTACAAAAATAAGTATGTTGACGGCAATTGTATCTTCAAGATGATTATTCATCAGGTTTTCCAGTTGATGAGGTTGTTATTCTTCTACTCACATTTCTCATTCTTGGTGTCATACATTATGTTTCTTTTTTAAATAAAAGGCCATTTGTACAACAATTTATGTATTTATTTTATAATTTTAACAAATAAATTAACTATTTTTCATTTTAAAAACTTGAGAATGACTCTTGTTTTAGCCGAAACTTTGATGGTTAAATTATTTAAAAAATATAGAAATTGGTCATAAAATAGGTTTTTACTTAATAAAAAAGAGGTAATTATTGTATGAGTAAATAAAAAAAAATTGCCTTAATTATTTATTAAAGGCATCATCAGAACTAAAAATAACGCCGAAGCAGATTAGAGGTTGCACATCTCACTTGCATAAGAGATAATGTATCATGCGTAAACCAACCAACATGAAATGTTTATTTCAGTTATTTATTTGGAAAAGTCCTATGCGGCTTGGAACCTAATAGCACAATTATAATTTGTTTTCACTTGTTTTTGTTCTCATTATTTACTTGGAAGAGTGCTATAGGCATATATTTTATTAGATTCATTATATGATAAATATCTGCGTAACCTTTTTTCTTCGTAAATATCTAACATTTGGTATTATAAAGTTTAAATCACTAAATTTAGATCTAAGTTATGTTTTTTTTTCAGCAATAACGCAGTGTTTAAAGGTACAGAGTTAGGTGCTGTTTACAATTAATAATTTCCTAGTTCTATAGGAATGTGTAATGTTCCATACCTTGATGAACGCGAATATGAAGAGAAATGCCTCCCTAATCCTATAACAGATCGAAACGAAATTCGTAGCGAATATGCGGAGAATGATGGATACCCCACTCTCGGGAGTTGCAGCGGACATCGCTCACTTGACTCGCACATCACTGGCGATCGACTGACAACCGATGACCTTCCTCTTCGTAGGAAAAACTGTTTTTATCACCTCAAGGAGAACCCGTTTAGCTGGGAACTCTGACAACAGTCGAGGATTATTCCTGTAGAGATGGGAGAACGTCCGAACAATGGACGTTCTCACGTGTCGCTTCAATGATAGAAGTATTAATTATAACAGTTACGTAAAACTCTCCTACAGCATATGTCGTACGAAACAGATGGCCGACAGGTCGATCCGAAGACTCCTGTCCTTTGGGAACAATGGAGTTGTAATTTCGGGGAGGCTGAATGTCTTGGATAATTACCGACTTGAATGGAACAAAAGATGAGACTTATAATAAAGGAGGAAGATTGCATTATCAGAAGTCATAAGCCTAAGGCAAATTTAAACGATATATACAACTGAAATCAATCTGTGGCACAGCATATCGCAAAGGGACAGAACCAACCAAATTGATGGTCGGAATACTGAATTAAATCTACACATGCCTGATGCACATCAGTTCATTTTTGAAGACAATACTTATTCTTATTATTACTAAATCACAAAATATGTAATGAAAAAATGTTACTGTTTTCAAAATAAGTTGAGCATCTAGATTTTAGAAGATAACGTTTTTCAACAATACAAAAAAAAGGAACACTGAAAACTAGTCAAGAAGCAACACAAATTAAATATTAACTAATTTTTGGTAGCTCAAGGACATGATCAAGTTAATGGCACTTAATAAAAACACTTATGGTAAATTATTGTTAAGAAATATATATTTAGAAGAAAATAAAATTGCCTGCAAATTATTTCCATTCATTTATCCTCCGAGACAAAAAGGCTTGTAAGTTAAAAAAAAAAAGGTGAATTTGCCGAAAAAAGTTGGGTGAAAATCTATACGACGGAAATTGTCAATTTAAGATTGTGAATATCTCGAAAATTATATAGATACGAAATAAAATTATACGATAAAATGTTTCATAACAGAAATGTTATCAGATTTAAGATTTAATTTTGTTACGATACACCGTTTTCGAGATATGAAAAAAAGAAAATTTTTCAACGTCTCAACATCATGAAGTGGTAAGTGTAGGGAAAAGGACTTTTAGTATTTTTAACTCTTAAGTAATTCTAATAAATTCCTGGAGTCAAATATGCTTCTCCCCACTCCAAGTATTCTAAACCCTCCTTTTTGTCATCTATTGACTTAAGTATATATACTAGGGATTTTCAAAATAGATGACCCAGCAATAATATTTAAGGTCGAAATTGTCAATTTGGTGAATAGACATTCTAACAATCAATAATTTTATAACATAATCAAAATTAAAATTATTTAAATTTAAGATAATATCTGGACAAAATAGTATTAGGATTATATACATTATAAAAAAAATGGGTCTTTTTTTTTCGGTAGCTATACTTCGAATTAAAAAAAAAAGATTATACTAAAATAAGCATAGAGCTAGAAAAGAGACATAAGGTTACTATATTATAAATGAAAAAATCCAAACTACAAAGCCGTGATTCAGTGTTTCGCTAATTCAGTCATCATTAGGGCAGAAAAACCAAGATCACTTATATGCAAAAAGGAAAAAAAAAAACACGCAAAAAACAAATATTTGCTGTAGACATAACACGAAATTATCCAAATACATACAGGAGGAAAAAGAAGGATCTACTAACAAAAGTAAGGAAGATTATATTGAACAGCTAATTAGCAGAAATATAAGGAAGAAAGGGGAAAAATATGTATGCATAACTAAAATTTAATAATAAAAATGAGTTAAATAACATAAAATAATTAATTCAAAAGAAATAGCTCGAAGGTAATATTACTGCATAACAAGTAATATTACTAAAATAAGCATCACGCTAGAAAAGAGACATAAGGTTATAAATATATTATAAATGGAAAATTCTAAACTACAAAGCCATGAGTCTCCAACACAAAAGTGAATAATTAACTTTTCAATTATTTTCTAATTCAGGCATCATCAGAGAAGAAAAACCAAGATCACTCATATGCAGAAAGAAATTAAAAAATAAGAAAGATTTATATTTAAAAATTAATGTCTGAAGCCAGTTGCATCTCCAGAACCATAATTACAGTAAACGATACAGATGAATTAAAAACGTTAATTTAATCATTATCATAATAACATTTAATAATCGATTAAATTATTTTTGTATTTTATTTCATTTTACAATTTATTACAGATTATTCAGGAGTAGGATAGTCCGCTAATAGGAACTTACGAAATTTAAAATTTTGGTAGACGTTTGTTAAAATATTTAAATCACAAAAATATTTCGAAAAATAAGAACAGGAAATCAACTTAAGTTACATTGAATAGAAGATCAAATATACCAATGGCGCATTGTGTATGTTGGCTACTGTTCATAAGGAAGTTATATACTTGAGCCAAAACTAAAATTGTTTTGAATTTTTAAGTAAATATTAATAGAAACGCTTTAAACTATAATTTATCTATTTTTGATATACTTAACGTTATTCATTTTCTATATTAATGAACGAAACGCGCAACTGTTTTATTTATTTTTATGTTATATATTATTTGTAATTACTATAATAATCAAACACAATTATCTGTAACAAATTTTATTATTTGTACTTATCAATACAAAATTAATTTTATGGTAAAATCTTTACGCTTCATAGGTGTAATATGGAGAGAACGATTTAATTTTATTAAGTACCACAAAATTCTATTAAGTACATGTAATATAGAAAGTTATGCATTTCACACGAGAAACTGTAGCACAATATAAAACATATCCTGCTACGGAGCAACGGTACATAAGCACGTTGTGGTCTTAACCCTCACACCACAAGTCCTCTCGATTCTTCGGCAACTCCTTCCTCATTGATGGCCTTTCTCCTCGGACTTTGGAAAAGACCTGAAGAATTCACCTTCCACACATTAAGAAGTATAACGAATAGAATTTTTTTTGATTGATCGGTTGATTTAGCGAGGAGTTAAAAGATGTCCGTTGAGAGGAATAGTTGGAATAGATTATTCTCGAGGACATTAGATGGGACCACGCACGGCGTGGGAAAGAGATCCAAGGTGGGGGCGACCCGCCCGCGACTAATGCGACAATAGCGACCAATCAGGAGGTGGCAATTAAACCTCACCGGCCAATGGGAAGGCGCGAATTGTCCGAGACAAATATTTCGGCTTCCGAAAATGACCAATCAGATGGAGCAGAAACGACAAGACCCCAAGTTGGCCAACGCTAAGCACCGTGGAACTAATGCTCTATAGCTGTCCGAAGGCTACTGACCTCTCCCAGCATCCCCGGCTTCGTCTTCTGCAGCGGGATCCTTGAAAAGAAAAATGAGTAGCGATAACCTCTTAAAGGATCTATAGCCGTTTTATCGGAAATATTTTGACATCTGACTAGTTGAAATAGTTCAGAGAAAGTGGTTACGTTATAGATATAAAATCCCGGTTGAGAAGTTTGTTGGAGTATGCCAACTCAAATGTAATATTTTAACTACATCGGGCAGACGCACTGGGCCAAAATTAGGAAACGATTCCTTAGGAAAGGGCGAAATCCATAGAACCTAAAATTTCGGAAATACTTTTTTTTTTTAAACTAATATAAAAATATTTCTTTCTACTTCTTGGTTTTTTTACCTTAATTTAGTCGATGATACCAGTTAATATTACTTTATGCTGATATTTATTTAAAATAAATTGCTTGAAATACAGATATAAAATTGGGAGCGCGGCAAAATAGGGCTACTTTTTTTTAGTTACACATTACAGATATAGGATAAAGCAATAAATTATTGTTATGTAAAACATGTGTAAAATTCTCTATAACTAAACTATAAAAATGTTTGAAAATAAATCAGATGAGAGATCTCTTTTAGTATAATTTCCTGCTTGTTTCTGAAACATACAAGTTATTTTCTTCAACCGTCTAAAAATTGTAATTTAGCTAAGCAATAAATTAGATATTAATTTAATGATACGATTTTTCAAGGTCTATGTTGTTATTCTATGCATGATTTTACTGAATATGATTAACTGAACGATTTCATAGAATTATAATTTCATTTGCATAATTCAATTGAAATTCAATATATGATACCTTTTTTTATAAATGGTCTGGATAGACTAATTATAATAAATAGTAGATATTAACTTATAATGTACAGCATGTTTATTTAGAGGTGAATCGACATGCGACACTCGCCGTAGGTTTCAGACATCTACAGAATGTTAATTCCCAAATCTTTTGTTCCATAAAAATTTTAAAAATATAAACTTGAATCGGAAAGTTAAGAGAGTTTATAGTTGTCCACTTCCCTTCTAAAAAATGGTAGCTCCAATCCTGTGCAAGCAATACACCATTTATCCTCTTGCTACTGTTTGGCAAGCCCAACATCAGAAATCTGAATTAGTTTGGTGGAGTACAGAAACAATTCAACTCATATCACTCTCCCAGGAAGAAAATTTGTTCAACAGGAATATTTGGAATATTAATAAAGTTCTAGAATATTAATTTAATACATTACTTATGGCAAGAACACTTAAGTTTTTGTCACCATAATGTTAATAACCGTTTTATCATTTCAAAAATTAATATTTTATTTCACAATTGATAAAAAAATGTAACTAGTTTGTACTATTGTTTAGTACTGAAATATAGTTTTCATATATAGGATGTTTAATAACAATATAGTTTAAATTATACATTTATAAAATACATAAACATATATCTACGAACACCCACATCTTCGTTAAGCTCGATGAACCATTCCGGCTTGGCCTTATAACCGTTCTTGAGACCATTCTTCATCTTCCTTCCAGGACCCCTGATGTCAGGGAAGGCCTCTCCGAGGAACTCGAACTGACCTTCCCACATGTCGAACTCCAGCTCCGGGCCTAGGGAAGGCGGGTCTCCGTCCTCTACCATCGTCGCCGTCCCGGGTGGTCATGGCATACCTGGATTACCATGGGGTTCAAGAAGTGCACTACCGTCTAGGAGTCTGTTTCACCCGGTCGGACGAGGATAACATGAAGGACCGAGAATTAGTAAAAGGGGATAAACGTGTAAACGAATTAGAGAGAAAAATAAAATTGCATTATTAGTGAAAGATTCTAAACAACATTTCAATGAAAAGTATCATGTCAAATTTTAAAAAACAGAATCCATGAATTTTTAGATAGCACCATATTTTGGGGAGTTTTAATTTGGGAGAACATTTAAACCACGAAACTAGAGTAAATCTTACAACTGTTCGCTGCAAGTGTAATTGTAAATAAACTACAATTTCTTTCTTTATTTTTTATATTTAATCCGCTTTTAAGAAGGGAACATTAAATATTTTTGGAAGGAATCTTGTTGTTCCTTCGTCCTCTGGAGGAATGGGTACCTCTGTAACAACAAATTTTATTCGTAAGTTTTTGTTGGCTACAGAGGTACCGGGCAAAAGCTGATCTATTTACGATTGCTGGACAAATCAATTCTTTGCAATTCGAAACATAGAAAAGATATTCATACATTTTTGAAATTCGATATAAATCATCGTATTATAATGAAATTTGAAAATCTTCAACGCACTTTTATTTTCCATATTAAATTGTCTTTTAGATAAAAGGTTCCGTTTAGGGGATATTTTTTTCAATGAGAATAGCGATGGAGGATACTATATAATGTCTTAAAAGATCTTTAGCCGAGGTTTTGCCACTCGACACACCGGGTGATACAGACAGATGACGTAGCCTACAAAAAATACTTCATGGAAGGTAATTTTCAAAAACTCAATGGAATTGTGAAACATATAAAATTTTAACTACAATACTTATTAGCTGAGAACTACCAACCATAGTATTATTAGAGTAGCAATACAATAACGTCAAAATAAGAGAAGTGCAACGGTTTCATAAAGTATTTTTATAATTTATTTTAACACCATTAGAATTAAATACAAATTAAGTAATATTTCATAATAATACAAAATACATTGTTGAGCCATTTCATTTTTGATAAATTAAAAATAACATTAGTTCACATAATTATACTAATAAACCATTGATATGATCTTTACAATTGTATAAAAACTAAATACAATTCCAGAAATATCGATTAAAATAAAACCTATGAGAATTATTTACAAATATAAAAAAATGTATTGTAAAAAAAAAAAAAACAAGATACTATCACTACCAGCAAGGTACATAATACTTTACATTTGTTTAAAATTAGTTAAATTCAAGGGAATATAAGAAATCAGAACAACCAATCTAAAAATTATTGTCATGAATATAAAGTTATTTATATTGTATGATTCATATTGTATTATTTGTACTATTTATACAGATAAATTTTCTACTGTTCATACTATCAACTAACATGAATAGACGTTTATGAATGTTTCGATAAGTCTAAAAAACTACAAATGATTTAGAGTAATGGCGCAGTAATATCTCCCGTGTGGTTGAAAATCGATGTTTGATAGTCTATTACAACGAACTATCGAGTAGTTATACCTATTATGTCTCGAATAGGTCACGAATAGGCACCACAGGTAAATAGGCATATATTTAAGCCTTGATAGCAAACAAAAGATATTATTTTAAAAAATAATTCATTGACAATAGATCAGTAAGGTTCCTATATTTTATATTTTAGTAGCAACTGATTATAAAATGATTCGAGAAATCTATAAAAAAAAAAAAAAAAAAAAAAAAAAAAAAAAAAAAAAAAAAAAAAAAAAATCCACAGCTTTAGTGTAGCCTTGAAAATCATTATCCATGGAGTTTCTCAGGCATATTCAACTTTTCCCAAGTCAAATTCAATTCTTTTGCAATGTAAGTAAAATTCAATTTCTTCTAAGTCAAATTAAATTTTTTCAAGACCAATTGAACCTATTTCATTTCAAATTCAATTTTCCTTTTACTTTATCGTTAATTTTATTACCTGAATTTGAATTTTCTTGAGACAGATTGTAATAATTCTGAATAAATCTGTTAAAAAAAAAAATAATAATTGATTTTTTATATATATAAGAGATAAAAAGACCTTTTACTTGAAAAATTCTGAAAATTTATAATAAAGTTGCATTTAATTTCGAAAATCCTTAATTTGTCTTCAAAATAGTTGAATTTGACAAGGAAAAAAATGATTTTGAATTGAACACAGTTGGATATGGCTTGAAAATGATATAAATATTTATAAAAATTGTATATTTGTGCTTCTTAGGTTTAATGAGAAGCAAACGAAATTCCTCAAGGAATTAAAAATAATGCCATGTATGGAAATAATACATTCCTGAGAAAAGTTATTATTTTCTAATGCTTTCACACTAACATCCTAGCAATACTTCAAAACCGATCTTTCAAAAGCTTTGAGACTTTAAATATTTTTAATCAAATACTAACAAAACCCTCCATAATGACCTTAATACCCCATTTGTTATTGACCTAATCCCAGACAAATTTTCTAAATTTCACCAGAAACTCACTCATCATCCATATCCTGTAGCACAATCCCTATCTAGCTCCAGCCATCCCTATAATCCTCCTCGGAGGTTAAAACGGCAGTGGCCCCGCGACCTTTTGTAAATATGTATATATTGGAGTACTGGCAATGGCCAGATTCTCCATATATATTTCAATTTCATTTAGCTTTTCTCTTTTTTTTTATTAACTTTTTTTACCTACGTATGTTAAACTCTTTTTCTTTTATCTCTATTTAAGTTATCATTTGTATGTATATATTGTGTGAATGTTTAATGTAGCCCTAATATTAATACCCTCCAATGCTGCAGAATGTATTAATTTTCAAATTATAAAAAAAATAAAAAAATCACGTACTATACTCAACTGAATCCATCACCAACTCATGATAAATTAATTTTGGTTATATGTTAATTATAAAACAAGGATTGATTATAAGAAAATTGGCACTCATGAAAAAAAAAATTTAAAAAGTTCATCAATTACTGAAGCCTTAGGCATATTTGGTACAAAGAAGTGTTATTGACCTTTAACCGAAGTGTAATTAGTACTTTCTAGTGAAGGGTAAATTAACCGACTGCACACGTACATTCTACCGACATTTTTTTAATAGATTTAAGATTTACTGTAATTAAAAAATCCGTAATAATCGGGATATTCCGTGAGGTAAATACCAAACAGATAAGAAGTAGGAAACGTTGGAGTTGTTAGAAGAAAATGGTCTAACTCAATCGATCCGTATGGAACGAAACTTTTTTTATATACCTTTTAAGTTTAAAAAAATATATATATTGATGATATTTAAATACAAAAATGGTTGTTCAAACAGTTTCAAGAGGGGATATTCCGATAATGTTCAATCAAAAACAGAAAATTTATCCTAAACTGAAAAATCAATAGTTTGAATTGCTCACGCTCTAATTTCTTTTTTTTTTCTTTTTTTTTGAGAAGGATGAGGATGAATACACATGCCTGATATAACAAGGACTTTTTAAAAAATATATTTAGATAATAATATAATCTACAATAAGCAATGGAAAGCTACGTTAAAAATTCAGTCTAATTAGGATAAACACTGCTACAATTACAAGAAAAACAGAAATTACTGTTATTATTGTAATTTTGCCTACATAATCGAATTCGTGGCATAGTTTTCATCCATTGATGGGAAAAGGGTAATGGCAAAGGTGAGAGGGCATGGTGCAATAGGAAGTTGAATTAGCTTTTGAGAAAAAAAAATAAGATTTTTAGACTTGTACATTCAAACTAATACATTGGAATAGATAAATAAACATAATAATTCTTTAATAATATTGTTTTATAAATCATTAGATTGACTAGTTATCAGAATAGCAAGTCATTTTGTGTTGATAAATTTATCAATATTATATAACATTTTTATTATATTTTATTTTATTTTTAGGAGGAAGAAGATGAATACACATGCCTTATAAAGTTTTGCTGTTCACAGGAGGTTTTATTTTTAGTGTGGATGAAATATCTCCAAAAACATCCCTACCGCCTCCACATTTAACACTCTTGTTCTCACTCCCATTTTTCCCACTACATAACCCTCTTCCCTCTCCTTCGGTAAATTAAACAGGCTCGCCGAAATGAAATATTTGCAAGAGAGTGCGTGGTCAATAGCTTATAATAACAACTGTCGTGAACCTACAACAATGTTAACAAATTTACTAATATAAACAACTAAGTAAATTAAGATTACTTAAACAAAACAGATAGAGGGGGCAGTGATGGGCTGGGCATCCTGAGGACACACCCATCAACTTCCGGCCGGCAGCTTCCGCCTGCCTAGCCATTGTCAGGTTGAAGGCGATAGCCATTAGACATCTTTATTAAGGAGGCAGGGATGCTTTCAACAATTTTTTATTTTAATTGCCAAAATAGTTCTTTAATTATTGAACATGTGTTAAATGATTTCTTTTTTCAATAAATGCGATGAAGAGTTAATGATTTATGTAAGATTATGGATACGATATAGATAGAAAGGTCGACTCCCCTTCAACGATAGATTTCAAGTGAATTCCGTTACTTTTCAGATCTATATTTTCAAGGGCACTCAATGTTGTAAATTTCATAGATTTTTGATAACTTGAAAATGAGCCAATTGTCTCGAAACGTTGTTATGACTTAAATAAATAATGAAATTATAAGAGCATTCCATCCTTGAAGACACCGTATATTAATATATTTAAAAAAAAAAAAACATTTATCACTCTTTGTTCTCACTCCCATTTTCCCCACTACATAACCCTCTTCCCCCTCCTTTGGTAAATTAAACATGCTCGCCGAAATGAAATATTTGCAAGAGAATGCGCGGTCAATAGCTTGTAATAACAATTGTCCAAAACCTACAACAATGTTAACAAATTTACTAGTATAAAGAATAAAAACATCCAAGTGAATGGTTATTGATCGGAATAGATAAATATGAAAGATTTTTCATAATTGTTAATTGGTTGACTGTCGTGGATAATGAAGAGAAGAATAGTTGGGGTGCTCAGTCAAAAAGGAAGGCAAAAAATAAATTATAATATTTATTTTTTACATATGCCGACGTTTCGACCTGAAGTTCAGGCCTTCATCAGGGCTAAGAAAATAACCAGATAACAAGGTATGAGAAACATAAGTAATGATGGTAAAAAAGATAATAAAAAATGAAAAAATAAAATAAAAAAAAATTATTAGAAAAATAAAATAGATAGATATAAAGTAAAATGAAATTGTTAGAATAATGACTAAGAACTAAGAGATAGATAATAAAAACTGTTACATAGTGTGGAATGATGAAGTAGGCATAATCAAACGTCGGCATATGTAAAAAATAAATATTATAATTTATTTTGTCACCCCTTTTTGATTATGCCTACTTCATCATTCCACACTATGTAACAGTTTTTATTATCTATCTCTTAGTTCTTAGTCATTATTCTAACAATTTCATTTTACTTTATATCTATCTATTTTATTTTTCTAATAATTTTTTTTTTCTCATTTTTTATTATCTTTTTTACCATCATTACTTATGTTTCTCATACCTTGTTATCTGGTTATTTTCTTAGCCCTGATGAAGGCCTGAACTTCAGGTCGAAACGTCGGCATATGTAAAAAATAAATATTATAATTTATTTTTTGCCTTCCTTTTTGACTGAGCACCCCAACTATTCTTCTCTTCATGAAAGATTTTTAATTTATATAATAAACTTGAGACTGATTTAAAGGATGATTTTTTTTTATTAATTCATATAAATATATATAAAACACTAAATACCGTTATTTGGGAAATTTATGTGTAGGCAATGATTGAATAGGCAGAATTTTAAGATGGGAAGGGTATTGAAGCGATGGATATTGGAAGGAAGTAACCAGAAAACAAGTTTTCATGTACGGAGGTTATATAGTCGCTCTTAGGTGAAAAGGGTATGGCGGTAGATAACTAGCGGTAGAAATCTAGCTCCTCTTGCAAAAAGTCCAAGAATTTTCATCACCTAGAACTTCATGAACTGCAATCGGCAAATATAATTTAGATGGCTGGAAAATGAAACTGCGTGTAAAATTGTTAAGATAAAACAACGAACAAATTTCTAAAAGGCCAACAAGCTTTGTGCCGACAGGTAAGGTTCGAAGGATTTTCTTAAGGTTGAAGAATATGGACGATGATACGAAGAATATGGCACCTACACCGAATCTTCGAATTCGCTGAATCCGTATAATTACAAGTACTAGTTACATATTTTATATTGTTATATTGAGTAATTAATTAACGATAATCAAATTGATAAATGATTAAATCATACTAACACAAATTACTTGATTTGGAGTTGAGACAGCTATGAATTACGTAATTTATTATTATATTTGTAAAATTGATGAAAAATGCTTTATAGATGAATAAGTCATTAACTGGTCGGTCCATGAAAACCGTCCGGACTCACGAAGGTTTGAAAGTCTTTAATTCAAGCCTTGAATTATATAGTAAAAATTATGTAGGAACTAAATTTGTTTACATTTCTATAAACTCTTTTGCTTAAGTACAATCTATATTTCAATGTTTTGATCTACTAGATATAAATATATTATTCGTTATGCCAGATATAAATATATACATAAATAATATTATTCGTTTGAATTAATTAAATAATATTTAAAAAAATTATGATATCCCTACATGATTGGATATTTTCTCAATCAAAGGAAGTTCTTTACAAATTCCGATTTTTTTTTTTTTAAAGAGTCACTACTCCCGCTGTTCAAGTAATGACGTGCGTAACGCGAGACGTTTTTTTCGATTAATAAAATTATTTTATCATATCCAGGATTACTTGAAAAAAAAATCATCAAATTATAATTATAAATAAATAACGATATATGATTGAGCATGCCTGGACATTAATGTTGATTTTAATTTAATATGTTATTTGATCGGCAATATTATTTTATATTTTTTTAGATAACCATAATATATATATATATATGGACTAAATTGTTCGAACAACAGGAAAGCCCTTTCACTAAAGTTGTTAATGTTCCATTTTCGAGAGAAAAATGCGAGTTGTGAGGCAATAAATTCCCCTGGGCTGTTGAAAAACCTGTCAAAACTTTCCCACCCTAAGTCTCTTTTCATCTTCGCTTTCGACTTGTTTCCTTTTATGAAGTAATGATTATTTTTCTTTTATTGTTTAAGCTTTATTGTTTGTGTTGAGAATATAATATATTTAGTTTTCTTCAAATTTACATTTCGTGAATGTTTCAGTGAAACATTCTATATATCAATATTAGTATAATATAATATTATCTCAAATATTAGGGAGTAGGATAGCTCATCGAGTAAGGTACCGACTTCCTAAGGTCAAGGTAATGTGTTCGAATCTGCCTGTAGGCAGGTATTTACTCTGTTGAACAGCCGTAGATTGACCCTGGGGTCGGGAGATACTCCAGGTTACACCCAGCCTCATTGAGCGCGATCCTGGTCCGATAACCTTTCTCCACAACCATTGGTCTAATACAATAGTGGCTAGAAAGTAATGGATCCAAGACCTTTCATAGGTTGTAGGGGTATAGGTTTTTTATTTACTTCTTTTTTACTACGATACCTAGGAAGCTGTAATTTTTGGATATTTTCCGTTATTCTGTATATATGCAACGAATCTTTAAAAAAAATTCACGGTGTTAGTGGTTAAAAAAAAAAAAATGAAAGAAGTTCCTAAAAATAAAAATTTTTCTTCGGATACTCGAAAACTCTATTTTACGAAAATTATAAGCATTTATATGAGCTATAGGTATGTAAAACATGAGATTAAAATAGGATCTCTATAACCAAAGATAAATCATATCTCGTTTTTTATTGAGTATTCACATATATTTTTAGAACAAATATATATAAATAAATAAGAAAGATACCACAGGCTCACTGACTTATTAATTATTGCATCTCAAATATGGCAATGGCAATGAAACTGGAGAGCAAGCTTAATTTGATTATATTAGCAAGCTTTATTATATTAATATAATATTGATTTTACTGGGAAATTCGTCAAGCTTTACAAAATTATTTGTTTAACATTTTGATTAAGAGAGGGCGGCATAAAAAGTTCCTACGAACGAAAATGGACGCGAGAGGATATAATTGGGCAGTAAACGTCAACTTTTATGTAATTTCCAGAGGACAATGGAGATAAAAACCGAGACTCCCTATTTAGCTAACCCATTATCTCCTAAATATACGAGGAGAAACCCCAACCGATCAAGGACCAGTCGTACTCGCACTGATCAGAAAGCTGCCCGGGATGGTATAGAAAGCAAAATTTCTCTGCATCGACCTATTTCCCAGCAATTTAGCATAACTTGCCGCTGGAAATTTATGGCTCACTCAGCCTCTCATCTTCATTAAGAATTATTGTGTACATAAACTAAAGCATAAAAGCTAAACTTGAATATAGTTTTATTAGGAATAAGCCGAAGTTTTCTGATGCTTATTACTTGAGTCATCCACTCCTTAATTTTTTTTTTAATTTAATTTTTATTTGTTGTTAGAAAGGAATCTCAAAGAAATAGAATCTACCTTTGTATAACAAATATTATTACTCTTATGGGATTACAAATATTTTTTCTTTTATATGCGACATTACAAATATTACAACAATATTAATACAAGAATGCCTTAAAAAGCATATTTGGTAAAAAGTCAGACAGTTAAAATAACGCCAATTATTAACAATTATATAAAATCTAAAATTCCTTCAAAACACATACATAATATCAATAAAAACAATAAATACATTTTATGTTTCAAATATAAATAATAAACTATGTTTTAAAATTCAAATAAAAGATTATTCGCATTAACAAAGAAAACAAACAAATAATATTCAAAGGACAACCATTCCAAATCGCTCAACCAATTCTCTATAACTTGATATATTAGATATGAAAAAATATAATCTTCTCATATCTTCTATAGTAATAGTTGGCTCAAACATTTCCATCCCATTAAAACTACCCGTATTCTGGTAAATTCTTAATCTTAAACTATTTTATATCAGGAATTTAAATGATACGTGATAAAGTGTCTCTTTTTCTTTATTATTGCACGTTGTGGAGTGAATTTTACAATTTTATTGTCAACTGAGACCTTGATCACGTATTTTCCCGAGTGGCGAATCTGCATTAATAATCTGGTATATTTGAAGTTAGTCGGCACCAACAAATACTGGGAGATCTGACCATTATTAAAAAAAAGATTCAAATGTCCACTCGCTCATTATCTTTGGATTGTTTAATAGAAAATGAAATGTTAATTACAGGCACAATATATTTACATGTGTACGCATGTATATCGGAAGCTACCACATGTGGAATTCTCATTGGAATATACTAGTTTACAATATTTTTATTCAGAATCTACACGTGTATCCAATCAATGTTTATAAATATTCTTTAAAAAAAAAAAAAAAAAAAAAAAAGAAATCCGCAAAGATATAAAATATTATCCAACAAATATCGCATGAGAAGCGACAGGATTTTAATTACTTCATTCATCACAAAAAAAGAACTAATTATGACTCGTAAATTATTCTTTGGTTGTCACTTTTCTTGTTTTACTAGAGATGGAGGCAAATATAACTTCTTTATGATAACAGTTTATTTTTTTGTTATATTCCGTTTATCGTCAGAAACATATATTATTTGCAATTGCTGGTTCGTTTCTACAGTTCAAAGACTAATTATTCAAACATGTTTACATATTTTTTTCCTATTTTACCAATTTATTAGTTTGTATAATATACCTCTTTGAATGCTCATTATTTTTAAACGTAAATACATATACATAAAACATGAACTGTCAAGTTGACCTACGATTTTATATTCCTCAACCAGGTAATAGGTGTACAAATTAAATGGACTTCATTAAAAAAAAAATTGTTAAAAATTGATAAGAGGCTGAAAAGGTCAATTGAACTTAAAGCAGGATAAACATTAAAACTTTTCTAAATCAGATTTACACAAACTTTAAAAATAAAGAGCAATAAACAATAACTAGTAATTTTTAATTATATCTAAATGTCTGAGAGGAATCCTGTGCGAGGATCGAAGATGAAAATTGTCTAGGATCCCATCCTTTGTCTAATTGTGCTTCTCGAGGATGAAGAAAGTACTACATACTTGCTTTGAGGATTTAGTTTTCGCTTTTAAATCAGTCCGTGGTACAGATCCCCTTTTATCAAATTATTAACATCCGCCGAAAAGTTCGCAAATCTCATCTTAACCTACAAATATGTTATTTACGAAAATTCTCCGAATTAGATCGCTTTCAATCTGGAGGTCGGCTAACTTTGTCTATTTAATTAAGTACTAAAAATTCATGAATACTCATGCTATTCACTTGAATTGTAAGTTAATATGATCACACAATAGATCACAGAAAAAAAGGTGGCCTTCAAAAATACTAAACCGTTTGGCCTAGTACCTACACTCCTGAATTGTCAAAATAACGAGGTTATATTGGTAAAACTGCACAAATTTTTGTAGACCACTTCTTTTCTCGACTTAGTGCTCAAGTTATCTCAAGATTCAAGTGGAAAGCGAATGGGTAGTTACGAGTTTTTAGTACCTAATTAAATAGACAGAGTATACCGATCTCCAGATTGAAAATGACCAAATTCCGAGATTTTCCGTTAATACAATTTTTAAGTTACTGTGAGATGAAGCTATTTACGAAGTTTCAGGAGGATGTTAATAATTCGATAAAAAGAAGTCTGTACCACGAACTACATTCACAAGTATCAATTAGCTTCATCTAAAACCGAAAATGTCTATGATGACTCAGAACACTTATGAAGATGCCTAAGATATTGAACAAAGGATTGCCCATTTTATAGATTTTTTGTCGTCACAGACCTTGTATATCTTTTGCCGCCTATTCAAGCTCTGCTTATATTTGGTTAATTCTTTCCAGTTAACTGCATGCAGCTCTATTACATCTTTGTTGATTCGATCTCTTCATCTGCTTTTGGGCTTTCCACTTGGTCTCTTCCCTATTCTGTAGGCATTCGTGTTGTTTAGTGGCTTTCTGATGGATTGCTCCGAACTCATCTCTACCCATGTTAACCTCTTTGCCTTCATATCTTGAGATACTGACTGTTTCTGGATGCAGTTTTTTATTGGCCTTCTTCTCCATCGATTTGTATTCTCATATACAGATATAACAATAAGAAGACACTTCTGCAAACATTTTCTAGTAAAAACTTAACAAACCACCAGAAAACATTATAGTTGAAGTTAATTTTCAAACATTTCAGTCTTCAAACAGGAAATTAAAAAAAAAAACTATAAAATCCTCAATCCAAGCATTTCAATATCCTACTTTTAAAAAAAAATTAGTGGTCTTATAAAAAAACAAATTATGCTGTGAAAAAAAGAAAACCCTAGAAAAATATCCTGCTTGGATCCTTGGCTGTTATTTGGGAAAGGACCGACGAGCTAGACAAATTGCAGGGTTCAGGACCTCTTTTCTCTCTTGTATGCATTGGGCGGTCACGGATGGCAGTTAATGGTCCCAGAGGAATCGGAGAAAGGTCACTACTCTCTATCGAAGGACTCCGTCTCTGTCACATAATGCCAGTATCCAGAGCTATCATTATCCAATATGGCCAATAATGCATTGTCGCCTGGTGGTAACAGGGAAATTCTAAGAAAGTAAAAGCTGGCAGTACGAATTTCAATAATCTATACCACAGACAAAACCTTATAATTGTTTATTTCTAAAAATTAAATCTACGGAAAGACAGGACATAAAAAAAAAAAAAAAAAATTATTCATCGAGGAAGTTGGGAAGGGAATAGACACGTGATTTTTTCAATGAGTAAGAAAAGGAACAGTTATCAATGACTCGGTTGTGACTAATTGCATGAATGATAGCCGCAGGAAAAGGAAGCGATAACTAATAATTGAAAATGATTAACAAGGACAAACCAGAAATATGATAGAAATGTACAAATTGATTAGATATACGCATTTGTCGATTCATTAAAACTTTTAAAGCATTAATAAAAAAGTACTACTTTTTTAAATTAACCTCACGATTCCCGATTTTCGGTAGATGAGGGATTTTCTGACAGTACAACCAAACTTAATATAACAAAAGTAGAAAGGTCAAGATTCATTCCTTGGGTCCGGCACGAAATAAATACCAGCTCGACCGGATGCCGCTAGACTCGAGAATTTTTAAGCGAGAAACGCTTTAACACGTTCGACCATTTTCAAGTAATAGTTTTACCGAAATAATTTGTGAGTCAAATTAGAGTAGAGAGAAAAAAATTATAGTGCTGTACCACTACATACAGATGCATAATATACACCATAATTATCAATCCCTTTAACACCTATATTATTTTTTAAATCTGTTTCATTGGCCGAGGGGCAAACCTGGGTAGATAGTCCCTCCTGGGGAATACCCAGCCTCTATTAACTGGGTACCCTTAATTAAAATAATTAATTAAGGGGGAAAACCTGGCGGTTGAGCTTGATCTCGGTCAAATCACCTCCTTGAACAACATTAGACCAAGAAACAGAGCTTTCCCTAAATAGTACTGAACCCAAGACCCTTCATGGGTTTTAGTGGTACAGGTTCTTTTTTTTTTTTTTTTTAAGCCTCTCTAATATTAAATTTAATATCAATCCTGTCAACGTTTCATTGTTTAATAATGCCTGCTGACTACAGAATGACTAACAATTACAGAATGACTAAATCCAATTTCATCATTTTTTATATTTAATTTTAGTGATATTTCTAGTGGGAAAACCTTTATTCACAATTCTGTATTTTCACGCAGCCCTCACCTACTCTGAAATCAAGTTACTCACTGACTGTGCAGATTTTATAAAGTTTCCAACTAGAAGTATAAATAAAATGACTTTATGTTGAAATTGGAGTTAGTAATTCTGTCAACTAAAAGGCTCATATGATAACTCATAAAAGAAATGCAGACTAATCATAGATATAATACATATCATGACAATGAGTTTTCTTTTTCTAATGTAATTTAAAATGAATGGAAATCTCATTCTTAAATAAACATTAAAATAGGAGGATCGTTGTGAATATCTGATTTTCGGTTTTATATTACATAAGCAGGATTTCAGGATTATTAAATTAGCACGATTATCCATATTATTAGGACTATCTTACATAGCAAAATTATAACAAATAACAAAACGTTAGGATTATTTTTATATAACAGGATTTAATATGAATATAAAAATAGCAGAATTAGGATGAAGTAAATATTTTATCTAAATAATATATTTATAAATAGAAATTAGGAAATAGTAACAATAAACACACCAGATGACTGGAGCTGGTTAAATACTTACATGCTGTTTAATAAACAGAACTCCCAACGAACAAATAGGGCGTCTATATCTGGCGGGTGGCCTAACCATTTTAAATTTGGAAGCTCTTAGCTCAGAGGAAATGAAATCATTCACGAGGAAATGCAACATTTAACTTTTGAACAAACTATTTTGCAGGTTTATTTAGATCTGAAACTGTAATAGATGATTTCTTAGAGAGAAGTTGAATGAATTTATGATGAAAAATACGTTCGGTATGTACAGTAAATAAAGTAGGGGAGACTGGGTAATACTGTGACAGTAATAATAATAATATTAATTGTCGTTATATATGTGCAGAGTAATGAACGTTTTTCCTCGTTATATCTTAAACATTAGCTGCTAATTAGTGTTTGTGATACAAATAAATAATTTTTTTTTTTTGTTTATGTTAGCGCCGCATGCACTTGTATCTTTATTTTTTTTCTCACCATAGTTTTTTTAAATGTTGTTTTATAAATGTTTATTTATTTCTTTTTTTTTGTAAATTTTTGAGGGACGATTGTTCCAGAACTGTATTTAATTGTACATTGTTTATATATTTAGTTTCATTTGCGATGTATTACCGCGTTTGTACTGACGAATACTGACGGAAGGCCAGGCAGTAGCGAGTATTCATTGATACAATTTATTATTTCATTAAATGGCATTTCATAATTTATAAATTTATAATTAATGCTCCAAGGAGTAGCAACAGAGACAAACCCGGAGGAAATGAAAACAAAAAGAGGACGGAAAACCAAAGAGACGGAACAAGGTCAGTACAACAGAATGCAACTAGCCCCGCAGCATTCACTGTTCGCCACTCGGAGGAATTCGAATTCTATCCTCACTCATTGAGGCGATAGTCAAGGTTTTGTATCGAGGTTTTTACCATAATTTAGAAAGCAGTTTGAATATTTCTTCGATATACGATCCACTACTTAAAAATAGTTTCCATAATAAATATTATAAAAAAGATAAATAATAATAACTATTTATTATTTCGTCCGAATAAATCGCACAATATATAAGGTCAGTGATCAAATAATAATATTGAGATAAGCAATTATACTATATTTTGGGAAGAAGAAATTTATTTTTACCTGATATATGAAATATGTAGCTATCACAATTTCTTCTACTAAAGAAAATTTATATTATTTTTATTTATTTTTTTTAATTTAATCTCTCGTATTGTTTTTAGTAACATAAAATGGACAAATATATACTCTGAAAAATAATTTATAATTAACCGAAGAAACCTTATACATCTTATAGATGAGGATGGTATAGGTTCTATAGCACTATATACATATACATGAGTGATTTTCATAAATTATAGCTCTAGTAACAATATTTAGTTATATAGATTGGACAAATATGAAAATTGAAATCTTTATTTTATTTATAAACATAATTAATTCATAATTCATGCTCAAAACTTTGAAAAAATACAATCAAATATGAATAACGATATTAATTAATTGAATAAATAACTGAAAACGAGGGATAAATTAAAAAGAATGGCTAAAAGTTTAAGGGTATTTTCCCAATAGTTATATTGAGTAAATAAGATAAAAGCCTAATTAATCTAAAATTCATTAAAACCTTCTCAAATTTATTAAAGATTAATTAACGTTATGCAAATCTGTATAATTAGATCTAACACGTACGTAAAAACGACACACCTTTTTTTACGTGAGGAGTAGTATATAATTAACAAAAAAAAATACAGAAAAAAGTTTTAAAAAGTTTAAATATTGGTTCCCGAAAATCAGTGGCAATGTATTAAATAGCAAAGGTTGATGAAAATTTGAATATAATTTTTAATCTTGACACGTTGTTTAAATTTTTAGTGATTGTTGATCAACATTAGAGAGGCTTCAAAACATACACTTTATAAAAATAGGTCTACATATTCATTAGGCTAAAAGAATAGTGTCTACTTTGTGTGAACAGAATTTATTATTATTCTTGTAAACAAATATAATGAAAAAAACGTATTCTAAGCAATAAACGCACTTGGTACGTTATAGGCTCTAATTTTGGAATAAGTATATTAAAAAAATGAAAAAGAATATTTCCTGTTTTTGTAAGTTTTATAAGTTATAAGTTGATTTTTCTTTTTCATAGAAGAATAGCAATCATGTCCGAACATATTACAAAATCTTGTAGGTCTTACAAAAAATAGACACATAAAAATTACAATGAAATATAGTATTATTTAAATTTCATTATTCAGGAATTGTGAAGTTGTTAAATATAAATGTATGTATAAATTTTAATGACAGCAGATTGAACAAACGTTTTTAAATAATTAAATCTCAACAATATAAAGTGATGGAAGGTTATTGTCAGTATTATAGTATACACCCCCATACCCGCCTCAATGTGGATAGATGACGAGGATATATAAAGAAATAAAAGAAAATGTAAGTAATTATCCATTTGCCTTGCACATTTATGATAAACATCACCATTTCACATCAATATATTTGAATAAATTATTTTATTATTTTTTTTTGTCAATCGTTTTCGAACCGTCTACAAAGGTTTATGAGTATGGCATAAGTTGATTCATAGGCCAGCCAAGCACATGACAGATGGAGAGCACATAACGATAACATAAGATTGAAAAGGTATTTTTGTACGTATTTAAATTTCTAAACTATTGATATTTATATTTTGAATCGTCTTATTCGATACGTAATTGAAATATAATTTTAAAAAGCGACTAAATATACTTGAATATAAATAAATATATGTAAAAATTTGTATTATGATTATTTCAGTTTCTAATTGAAGCTCATGAAAACTTTTTTTTTTCATATATTTATATTGGGCTATCCGGATATAGAAGAGTCCGGTTATTGGAGAGTGTATGCTTATTATTCACTGGTATATCAAAATTTAGGTTGTATGTTAGAATACTGAAGTATATTTAGGGTTGAATGTGGTGGGAGGGAATCGTAGATTACAAAGGTTTCTTAAACGACCTTTTGGTTGAGGGGAGTCCATCAGTCTCTGTCAGTAAGTTTGTAGAGCTTAGCTTTTCTACTTCCATTACATCTAAGTACCCTAAACTAATGGAACCTCGTGTCACTTGACTTTATCCAAGAGACAGATTATTTCGGCTATTTTCCGCTGTATTACATTGCAGGTTTATTTCAGATTTCTTTATTTAATTTAATATAATACATGAGTGTAAAAAGAATGAAATGAATCAGCCAAAAAAACGTATAACGTGAGAGAAATATATATCATAATACAAATAGAAAACCCGCAACTTTAGAAAGGGAACGAAAATTTTTTTTTTCAACTGGCCTGAGAAAAATCCAATAGAGCCCGCAGATAGTCTCCACGAACACATCATAGACTAGGTTTTTCTAAAAATCTGAGAACTCATTCAAGATTAACAAACAAAATTTATTATTTTCTTATCTCAACAAAGTAATTTGAAATTTACCCTTTAACCGAAAATCTGAGTAACCGAAATATCTATTTCAGCTTAATTTTTTAAAGATTAATTATTAATTGGTTGCAATATTACTTAAAAAAATATGCTGGTTTTAATTGTAAAACTTAATACTACCTTGTTTTTAAAAGGCTATTACTAAAATGTTTGGCAAAGATGATATTATTGGTGCTTTTGGCTTTTCATTAAGATATTTCATTTAATAAATTCTATAAAAAAATTTTAACCACTTTTACCCATTTTTCTCTGACAATTTTTTAAATGCTTTTCGACATATTTTGTATAAAATCAATAGTAGCACATTTTTTCATTAAGTAATCATCAAATTTTAAATTATCACCATGTAAAATATGAGACAAAAATGATATATTTATGGATTAAGAAAATGGTTTAGCATATCATTTTTGTTTTATATTCGCCCAGTCTAGGCTAATAATAATAATACTAATAATAAATTAGAGGACGAAATAAATTATTATTTTTTTAATATCAGTACCCATAGTAAGAAGTTGAGAAATAAAAAATAATTTAAATGAAAAAAAAATTATTTTTAACATTGGAATATAAAAAAATAAATAAATAAGAGAAACATGACAAAGAACATTAAAACGATAGAAACTATTTCAATTAAAAAAAAACAGCAGAAACTGTAAATAACCTCGTCTTGTATCCCTCGTCCTAAAGGACGGAATGTATTTGCATTTTCACTTCAACACATTGGTAGGCTATTTTATGGCAAAATATTAGACAAAAAAAAAAACTAAGATATCCATTTATATATATGTATATACATATATATATATATATATATATATATATATATATATATATATATATATATATATATATATATATATACATACATACATTTTATTTTTATATGCAAGCCTTAGGTGTATGAGATTCACCTGTGCTCACAAGTGCGCCTCCCTCTCAGAAAATTTCTGGATCCGTCACAAAACTAAAATATTTTAGAAGAAGGTTAATGACTGTTGTATAACGGATACTGTAAATTGGGCCTACGGTAAGAAGAATGGTAGGTTTCGAAAATTAATTGAGGTCCTCTAGTGAGAAAAAATTCCACGCCTTACAGAATGAATTAATCAAAGCAAGTTGGAAATTAATGGACTCATTGATTACAAATCAAACTTGTTGAATGGATGTTAACCGCATTACAAAAAGATGCAAACAATTCATTATGGTGTAGCTACACGTGTAAATGGCGCATGTTATTGGACGTGTGACGTCTTGTAAACCCGATAGTCAAGAAAAGGAGTAACTCAATACGGGAAGGTCGTAAGGCTTAATGCCATACAAAGAAAATACACTAAAGGAAAAATAAGCCCGCCGCAGTGCATAAATGACTATTGTTGCCATTCAGTATTTAACATAAATGAATTAATATCATGACTGATAACATAAGCACTAAATTATAATTGAAGTATTTAAAAAAAAAAAGATCACTTAACTTTCACTGACACGCCCATACTGTCACTTTACTTTCTGCACTTGACAAGCCATGTTAATCGGTGAAACCAACATTTTTTTTTTTTTTTACATTTGCCTACCTTTCTATTCATATTTTTTTTTTCAAAAAATAAAGAAAATGAGATGACGCGTTAATAACCAAACACACCAAATTCTATCGGGATAAGTTCACGAGAATTTGAGAAAGTAACCGAATAAAGATAAATGAATAATTCAGTCATCACATGAAGGAATTATCGTGGTTTTAGACAGCTGAAATTTAGTTATAAAAATAACAAATCAAATAATTATAAAAAAATTATTCTCTCAATATAATTCTAATAATGACAAATATAATCTATCTGACATGAATTGATCCACATGTAAAATAATTATATAGGCATATATATATACGCCATATGCATATATATATATATATATATATATATATATATATATATATATATATATATATATATATATGCCTAGAAGGCGTATTAAAAATATATATGTATATTGGTGTAATGTTTATAGCTATAAAAAATGTATTAAAAAATTAATTTTGAATTTTTAGACGTCTGAAAAGAAGATGGCCAAGGGACTTCTTCCTAAAGTAAAATAAACACTGAAGTGTTAATAATGTGCAATCTTCCCAAGCTACAACCATATTTTGTATTATTTTATCAGATTTATTTATTGCATTTTATCTGTACAGTTGTAAATTTCAATACATGACTAAAAAAAACTTTAAAATATTTTTTTTTTAACTTTTATTATTATATTTACAACTGTATTAGTATGAATGCATCAAGTAAATGTGTACAGAGGAATATTATCACATGAAACACGCTTGTTGAGAAACTACCCATTGGTAGCACTCTTTAAAATATGAATGATAGAAAATAGAATTTTTTTTTTTTCAAT